CCCCTGAATGGCGATTTTTTTAGATCAATTTTTTCAATTTTTTTCGCAATTGCTAAAAAACAAACGTCCATCTACTGGGCAGTTTACCCTAAATTATTCCTCGCAGTGATAGAAAAAGAAACCAATAATAATCACACCCACTAGAATTGCAATATTTTTCCGCATTGAATTGTCCTGCAGTTGTCCGTTGAGAGTTTCTCCAATCCAAAAACCCTAATTTTCCCACTGCAAATGTCCCACACCAAATAAAAGAAACAGTAATAGGAGGAGCGCGTCATCAACGGGTCTTTGACCGATGCGGACAGGTGGCATACACTGCTATTACACGTTATATACTCGATTGTAGTTCCACCTCTCAAATCACTCAGCGGTACATTCTCGGCTACAACTACCTTCTCAGCCGTGCATATTTCAATAGATACTTTTCATCTCATATTTTCTCCAACGACATTCGCGATACTGAAACATCGGGAGAGAGGGAGATATCCGGATGTTGTTCGACACACCTAGAACCCGGAGACCCCAGGCCCCGCTGATTCGCGTTAATCTCTTCCTCCGTTTCCTTTATTTCGGCTCTCCTGTCCCGAGGGCCTAGACGTCTTAAGGCGTAGGGACCCGAGGGCCCAGACGTAAGGTGGAAAAATAATCTGAAGGAGGGGCCGAGGGGGCAGGGAGGCAACTGTGACGTTTGGCTGCCGCTCGGTCCCCCAGACTTGGCCAAGTTGCTGAGTTTCCATTCACTAGCCGACCGCCGCCGGCAACAAGTCTCTCGTACATATGTACATACACGAATGTATGTGTGGGTTTCACGTGTGTTCAACGTATATGTGTTGAGTAGAATTTGTGTATGCCTGTATTTACGGTATGTATACCGTTCTGACTCGTCTCCACCTCAACTCCCACCCCTCCACACACACATACACGCACACATAAACAAAAATTTCTCCTTTCTCTCGTGTCTTAATATTCTTTTTCCCACTTCGTCATTCAGTCGAACGGTGAATCCGGGAGAATCGCATTTCCGTTTCACGTAGCACGTTCGATACATCGGGAGATCTCGCGAGTTGGATTTAGTTTGAAAATAGGGAGGATGAGCACGTGAAGTATGAACGCTGAAGTTGAATTGTCAGTTGTGAAAGTTTGTGTGGGACATTGTTCAATTAGTTGGAGTTCAGTTTATTGAGTTAATTTTTATCACGGGATAACGAGAGCGGGAACATGACGGTTGCTGGCAAGGTAAGAATGGTAGGAGATTGGGCGGTCGAAGTAGTCATTCGACTGTGATGAATTATTCAATCATTACTATTGAGCCACGTGAAGGACTCTCTGCACTGTTGGAAATTTATTGAAATTTCATGGAAGGTGTTATAGTAAATGTCAGGAGAGTGACATTGAATCGGATTTAGGGAAAAAATGGTTACGAAATTTCAAACTTTAAGTAGAATTTACGGAAATTTCACGAGTTGATTGAATTTTCAGTGGAACATGAATATTCAGAAACAAAATGACAGAAATTCTCTATTTTTTCCTGAATTTTACTGATTTTTCTGAATTTTCACAGAATAGTTGTACTGAAAAATCAACTATTTTATTAATTTCCAGATTATTCGAACAGAAAATCAATGGAATATTTGATTTTTCAATGACAAGATTTCCTGAAATTTCGGTGGAACTTGAACAGGATACAAATTTCCGGAATTTAGCACGGAAAATTCAGACGAAAATTTACAACTGTGCACTGTTAGAAATTTTTTAAAATTTCATGGAAGATTTTATAGTAAATCTCATGAGCGTGACATTGAATCGAATTTAGGGAAAAAATGGTTACGAACTTTCAAGCTTTAAGTAGAATTCACGGAAATTTCACTACTTCATCGAATTTTCAGTGGAATATGAATATTCAGAAACAAAATGACAAAATTCATGAGTTTTCAGTGGGAATGAAATGGAAATTTCACAACTTGATTGAATTTTCAGTGGAACATGAATATTCAGAAACAATATGACATGAATTTTCAATTTTTCCCCGAATTTCCCTGATTACTCCGAATTTTCAACAGAATAATTCAACTGAAAAATCAAGTATTTTATTGATTTCCAGATCATTCGAACAGAAAATCAATAGAATATTTAATTTTTCAATGACAAGATTTGCTAAAATTTCAGTGGAACTTGAACGCAATAAAAATTTCCGGAATTCATCACGGAAAATTCAGACGAAAATTTTTAACAGTGCAAGGTTCGAAATTTTTGGAAATTTCATGCGTTATTATAGTAAATCTCATGATAGTGACATTGAATCGAATTTAGGGAAAAAATGGTTATGAAATTTCAAGTTTCAAGTAGAATTCACGGAAATTCATGACTTTTCAGTGGGAGTGAAATGGAAATTTCACAACTTGATTGAATTTTCAGTGGAACATAAATATTCAGAAACAAAATGACATAAGTGTTCAATTTTTCCCTCAATTTGTCTGAATTTTCTCAGAATAATTGAAGTGAAAAATCAAGTATTTTATTGAATTCCCGATCAGTTGAACAGAAAATCAGTGGAATATTTGATTTTTCAATGACAAGATGTCCTGAAACTTCAGTGGAACTTAAATAGGATAAAAATTTCCGGAATTTAGTACGGAAAATTCAGACGAAAATGTTTAACAGTGTGTTGGTTCTGGACTTTTTACGTAGCTCGGAGAAAAAAAATAATTTCACGTGAAATTGTCCGCTCATATTTTTCGCTTGCGCTGGTAAAGATCATTTTCCACATATGGAGTTCAAAGAGACGTACAATCGACTGATAATGATACTGGATCCGGTTTGTCAGTCAAAAGTCAATTATAAGCAGATTAGCGATCATGTGTGAGTGTCGCGTGGAGGGGAAATTTTATCTACTGTTTATCGAAGCTTAATTAATGTGCTTGATGTATACAGAATGCGATAATTTTCGCGTTGGAAAAAATGGTTTATTCGGTAGTTGAAGTGTCTTGACACTTGAAAGTAGGGTTTTCGCGCGACCCGGAAGTCCACAGTCAAGCTTGAACGGGCTTCAACCGCGAAAGGCATCGTGGCTTTCGCTTGGAATTGTTTTTTTCGCATTTCATTCATTTGCGAATTGATTTGTCTATCTCACAGTTTTTTGTTCATTGAAAATGCAAATGTTTTTTCGATGGAAATTCAGAAAAAAAAATTGAAGTTTTCAGGGGGAGAAATATTAATTTAAAGTTTCAGATTTTACTGAAATGAAATTTCAGATTTTTGGGAAAATTCAATGAAGTTCAACTTTTTTTGCAGCAGGTAGACGAGAATTTCGTAACTTACTTGAATTTTTAGTAAAAACATACATATTTTTTTGCAAAATTACGCGGAATTTTCCGGATTTTCATTGATTTTTATTGAACAATTAGAATTTACAGTTTGGTTTTTCCATTTGATTTTCGACTATTAAATGATGAAATTCTTTAATATTTCAGTGGAACATTACAATGTGATAAAATTTTCCAAGAGTTGAACAAAAAGTTGAACTTTTATTGAAGTTTCAATAAAAGTTCAATGGAATTCAACATTTTTTAGCAGCAGGAAAACGAGAATTCTCCAATTCACTTGAATTTTCAATAAAAATATGAATATTCAGCACAAAATATGAATAAGAATTTTCAATTAATTGAAAATCCCAGGATGTGTTTACTTCAATTTTCCTCATTTCGTAATTGAATTGATTTCCTCATTTTTTCTCATTTTGTAATTAAACTGAAATTTGCACTTTCCATTGATATTCCTATAAAATTTTGGATTTCAAATAACGAAATTCCTTGAAATTTCAGTGAAACTATAATTAGATAAAAATTTCCAAGAAATATACCGAAAATTTTCAGAAAAGAATTGAAATATTCGGAAGAATGACGAAAATCGATTTAGGATAAAAAAAAAATCATGAAATTTCAGACTTCACTGAGAATTCAATAGAATTCAAAACTTTTCAGCAACAGAAAGACAAAACATTCCACAATTCCCTTGAATTTTCACTCAAAACCCGAATATTCAGTCCAGAATAACGCGGAAATTTCGATGAACTGAAAATTCCCTAATACATTTACCTCAATTCTCCCGACTTCTATCAATTGTCATGGAATAATTCAACTGAAATTAACATGAACTACAAATTTTTCCCCAAAATTTTTAATTTCAAATGACGTAATTCCTGAAAATTTTGCAATTACCTAATAAATAAATTCCAACAACTGCCCCGAAAATTTCAGTCAAAAATTTAGAACCCAGCGACTCTGAAGGAATTGCGTTAAGGTGGCCCTTCCGCCATTGAGGGCCGGCACGAAGTTCCCTTCTACCTCGAGGTCAGACACGCGCTAAAGCCAGTTCCGGTATCGACGCCACCCGGATCTTCACGACTGTAACAGCCACATATTAATGAACCCATGTATTTCTCGGTCATTAACGGTCGCCCGTCTTCCCCGTCATAATCAATTTATCAACGAGCATCGATCGGTGACGGGAACAATTGAATGAAGAATTGAGTTATCCCCGGGAATAAAAAAGACGTGATCAACGATGGTGAAGTGTACGAGTGACCTTCGTCACACTTCCATCCTCGTTCCGACCGCACTTTTTGCCTTTCGCTCGTAAAATATTTGAGAATGGGAAAAAGGATATGAATAACTTTTGGGTGTCACGGCGCTTTTTTTTTTATTCACCTCCGAATAACGCAACAATTTTTTTTCCTCGTTCCTTCGATACACCTGTGAAAAGGAGTACAAAGTATGACCGACCCTGATAGCTCGGTGTATACACACGGAGAAGTCCCGTCCCGCTACTTTCACCTGAATCCCCGCTAATGGCTACATCCGCCAACCTGAGAGAGCTATGCCCCATTTAAGATAATTTCACAGTGTCTTCCACCTCTTCTTCAATCGTTTATTTTCACGGTGCGTCCCCCAGATAAATAAAAAAAAAAATAATAAAAAATACCATGTTATTCGGAATTTCAGAGATATGTTGATTGCACGGTGCTGGGACGTGGGAGTGCGGGCACCGGTACAGAAGCCGAGGACTCATCCTATGACAGCGATTTCGAGGCTGAAGATTCAATCGGCTCGACAGTTGTGCATTCACAATTGGAGTCGCAGGTATCATCATCCACGCATTCGGACGTATCGCGGACAACATCCGACACCCTGGCGGCAGAGTTTGCGGAATATGTCACGGTACGGGGAGTGTCACCCACGCAGAATCCAGGTAGAATTTAATTTTTTATTGAGAACTGTTTTTTAAGGCGAGTTTTTTTGCTCGGGGCAGGAATGGCCATCAAAATTAATTTCTTCAACATTAGAAGATTTTGAGACTTGCATTGATCAATGTTTAAATGTAAATCAAAATTTAAGAATAATATAATACTAATAGTTTAAATTTTCGATTGATGATGAATTGATGATTTGATAATATAGAACTATGAATTTTCTATTAAGTGGATATTTCTATTTTTTTTTTAAAGGGATTATCGATTAATCAAGTAGTCGGCAATCTCCCTACCTAAATTATTGATTAATAAAATAGTTCAAAATTTGAATATTTAAATTGATAATTACTTGAATAATTAAAGGTTTAAGATTGACGTTAACTAATTGTCGCCTTCAAAATTTAACGCTAATTATGATTTATGAATAGGGCTATCCCTGGTTCGGGAACATCTTTGAACCTAAGGGGGATGGCGAAATTTTTATTGAAAAGTTTTTTGTAATTATTCTGTCATTCTATGAACATGTTCTTTTGACGATTTCTTACTTCTGTTTAATTATTCTGTTAAAATTCAGGGTAAAATTTAAAATTCATGTCATTTTGTTTCTGAATATTCATGTTCCACTAAAAATTCAATCAAGTTGTGAAATTTCCATCTCACTCCCATTGAAAACTCATGAATTTCTGTGAATTCTACTGAAAACGGGACAAAAAAATAAAGTCAACGCGGGTAACATAGGGATGAATGTTTGTGCTTTGCAAGTGAAAATCCTTTAAGATCATGTTTGTCACAACCTATAAATAACTAATGGGTTGATTGTCAGAATAAATGAATGCTCCGATAAAGACCACTTTGTGTGTTCGAAACGTTGGCAATTGGTGGAAGAATTGTTTTATATTTTTTCTTCGGATTCTTTCCTGTATTTATTTCTATTTGAGTCCCTGCTACGACCGTTAATGGCTACGGAAGTTGGAGTTTTTTTGAAGATGAATGGAAACGGTTGAAATAATTTTGGACTAAATTCGATTCAATGTCACTCTCATGAGATGTACTATAATATCTTCCCTGAAATTTCAAAAAATTTCCAACACTGCTCGAAAGAGTCTCGCAATCTTCCAAAACTTGATGTTTCTCAACCAAACTTGATGAACCCTGTTCCTTCCAGGCTATACCGCTCGGGTAGAGTTCGCCCTGAAGCTAGGATACACCGAGCGCCTCGTTCAAGTGGCCCTCCACAAACTGGGTCCTGATCCCGGCCAAAACGAGCTCCTAGCGGAGTTAATCCGCCTCGGAGCGAGTTCGGCCCGCTTCACAGACAGTCCAGAGGACCCAGACTACCTCGCCGAGGTCGATCCTCCCCCAGACGAAACTCGCCGATCAGCCGAATCCTCCGGAGGTCTACGACCAGTCGTCATAGACGGCAGTAACGTGGCAATGAGCCACGGTAATAAAGAAATATTCTCCTGTCGTGGCATTCAAATCTGCGTCGATTGGTTTCGCTCGAGGGGCCACAAGGAGATCACAGTCTTCGTACCAAAATGGCGTAAAGAGGCGTCACGACCGGACAATCCCATCGCCGATCAGGAGATTCTCGGGGAATTGGAAAGAGACAGACTACTTGTCTTCACACCATCGAGACTAGTCGGTGGAAAGCGAATGGTGTGTTACGACGACAGATACATTCTACGACTAGCCGCCGAGCTCGACGGAATAGTCGTCAGCAATGATAACTACAGAGATCTAGCGCAGGAGAGTCCAGAGTTTCGTAAAGTCGTTGAGGAGAGAATTCTCATGTACAGTTTCGTCAACGATCGTTTCATGCCACCTGACGATCCCCTGGGACGAAGTGGACCAACTCTCGACAATTTTCTGAGGACAGGAGTGAGGAAGAACGATCCTGCCCCACCCTGTCCCTACGCCAAGAAATGTACCTACGGGAATAAGTGTAAATTTCGTCATCCCGAGAGGGGTCCACATCCCCAGAAGTCAGTGACTGAGAGACTCGTTGAGCACGCACAGAGGCATCTTCAAGCCAGGGGTCCAAGTTTGAGTCTACCATTGTCATCATCGAGTTCAAATGTTCACACGGGCCATCAGCCTCTCTGCAGAGCGAGATCTGCTGTTCCTCCGTCCATTCAATCATCCACATCCGTCCCCAAGAGCAAATCTGTCGAGAATGTCACGGATTCGGTGGCGGCCTCGGTCTATGTCCAGCAGCTGCCTGCGACCAGTGTTCAAGGGTATTCGGGGGCTGTGGGGTGGCCTGCACCGAGGGTGAATAATCCGGAGCCAGAGCCGGCTAATATGCATAGGAAATTGCAGAGGCAGTTGACGTTGAATCCAGCGTGCGATCCAAGATTGTATCAATTGAGGAGATATCATCAGCAACCTCAGCATCCTGGGATGCCCTCGGGTAGAAGTAGTATGCAGCACAGGCCGCTGGTCAGGCACACCAGTAACGAGTCTTATTCACTTTCTATGAAGTAAGTTTTGGGATTTTTGGGGGTAAACTAGACCGGATGCGCACGATCAGCTTTCATTTTATTTATACTGAGAGAGAAAACTACTTTTGACAAAGTAGTGAATTAAATTGTTTACTTGAAAAGACAAGAAAATATTCTCTTGTCAATTTTAAAAATCGTGAAATCTCATGATAAATAATTTCGTTCTCAGACTGAGAGAAAATTCTCTTTTTGTCATTCCGGCCGTGAGGCAGCGCTTCCCGGACACTCCGCTCCGCTCCGCGGCCGTGAATCTCTGCCTACGGCCGTTATAACAAAAAATACTGTTCGTCATATGGCCAAAAAAAACTTTTCTAGTTCATATGATTGAAAAGTTTTTTTCGGCCTAGTGACGAAATATACTATGTCCTGAATTAGTATATTTCGTCACTAGGCCGAAAGAAACTTTTCTGGCGAATATGAGTGCAATCATATGAGCTAGAAAAGTTTTTTTTGGCCATATGACGAACAGTATTTTTTGTCATGACGGCCGTAGGCAGAGATTCACGGCCGCGGAGCGGAGCGGAGCACTCATAAATGCATTAGAAAACTGAATGATACGTAGGAAAAAAACTCAAATAAATAAATAAATGACAATGGCAGTGATCAATGATTAGTGAAAATTCAATGAATAATTTTGAATCTCTGATCAATCCTTTCATTTTTCAAAAGAACTCCCGTTCAATACGCGTAATTAAGGATTAGCAATCACGCAGTTTCGATATATTTTGGTTTAAAACAACCTCCCGGGACTTGTGTTTTCATAGGTAGCATCAAACTCAATGCATTTTTATAGTTTCCCCTATAACCACTCATTATGGAGATGATTTGACATTTAATGAGAAAGAGAAAGCAATCGTCTCCGGTTTGTTTCATTATTTCCTTAAGGAACTATGTGATTGTCTCAGAAGCAAGTAGTTTCACGAGGAAATGTCGAGAGTTTTTCCTCTAAAATCCCGCATTATTGATATCACTGTTAGAAATAAATTGAAGTTCCATGAACAGTTGACTAATTATTCTCACGTTAGTTAGATTGAAGTCAATTTTTCACTGGAATTCCAAATTTTTGAACAGCAAAAGACTATAATTTCTGAACTCCCTTGAATCTTCAATCAAAACATAAATATTCAGTAGCAAATTACGTTGAATTTTCAATCAATTAACAATTCAAGAATATATCTATCTGACTTTCCGTAATTTTCATGAAATAATTGATTTGAAATTTACAATTTCCCTTGATTTTTCCATAGAATATTGAATTTTTAATGACGAAATTCCTTGAAATTTCCGTGAAACCATAATGTGATAAAAAACCCGAAGCCCTGGACCGGAAATATCCGCCAAAAATGATTATTAATTTTCAGGAGGGTGGCATTAAATTCGATTTAAAGAGAGAAAACATCATAAAATTTGAGATTTCACAGAAAACTCCATGCAATTCCAAATTTTTGAATAACGAAAAGACTAGAATTCCTAAACTCTTTTTTCTTTCTTGAAATTTCCCTGAAACTCTTACAAAAAATCCCAAGCAGTCCATTAAAAATTTAATTCTCAATAAATTCCCCCTATAGTTACCAAAAAAACCGATTTATTTATCAATTGATTGTCTCAGCTGGGATCCATCGGACCACCACAACCATCAGCACGTGACGCGCATAGCCTCAGCCCCCGATTCCTCCCGAGGTTGGCCCCCACGAGGTGGAGGCCTAGCACTGCCCCCAAGAAGTCAACGTCTAGGAACATCAGAGCCTCAACTAAACCTCGTCCCATCTCCCTCGCTACCTAGTCTCCACCCCCCATGGACAGCATCGCAAACGCAAGACGCCAGACGTCGTCTCCACTACCACCTCGCAAATATCTTCCCCGAAGAGCAGGTCCAGACAGCGATGTCACTGCATCCGCACGAGACAGATCCCCAAAAGATATGTGCAGCAATTCTCGCAATGTTCCCTAAACCCTAGGGAATCAGTCTTCTCCAGCAATTGCTTGCGTTGTTTCTTCCAAACGCCCGAAAAAAATTTCATAGAAAATTCTAGCGAATTCGCTAGGCAATTCCATTTTATTTCTATTAAACTTTCTACAGTACAGACTTCGTATAAGATAGCTCTCTATAAGATATCTCGCGCTCCGAGGGCTCGAGGCCTACCCCCACTCACGGCACTTTTATCGCCTCCCGAATGTTTATGTTCCGTGGGCTCCTTATAAGATACCTATAGCCCCGGTCATTTTTCGACGGGTAGAGAGTAGTTAAAAGGATCAAACGGTGTTAAGGGTCAAACGGGAGGGACGAACGAAGTGTTTATGAGAGTCTAATGACCTTAAGGGGGGGTCACACCAATTTTTTTTTCAAGTAATGGAAATATGCATCGATTTTTTTTTTCACTTTGGCCGTCGAAAAATCGTAATTTTTCGTCTGTGATTATTCTCGAATCCACCAACAATCCCCCAATATCAGCTGCCATTCTACCCCGCGGGGTTATGTTTAGAGAGAAAAGAGAATGCGGGCGATAAAAATTCAAAACATTAAACACATATAAATTGATTAGTTATCGATATTCATTCAGTAAAACTGAAAATTTCATTGAATTCAGGCGCAACGAGCGAGGTATCTTATTTGAAATCCGCTGATCCCTATTCTTCTCCTCTATGGGCGCGCGTATGGGGGCATAGGGGTTCCCGGAATTCCACTCTCCTACTGTCCCTAAGGTATCTTATACGAAGCCTCTACTGTATTAGTTTTTGGTCGATTCTACTGAAACGTTCAACACAAAATATTCTATTGAAAAAGACATTTTCTTGATGCAAAGAAAAGAACGATAGAATGAATAAAACTTAGAAAATTTGAGCTGAGGAAATTCTATGGAAAATATCTCAATAGAATTGGCCAAAGGCGAATATAAAGTTCAATAGAAATCCAGTAGAATTGTCTAGCGAATTCGCTAGGTTTTTCTATTAAATTTTGTCATGCGTGCCCCCGAGATATACCTCTTATGAATTAGTTACAATATCAATCGGACCAAACATTAAGCATCCGTCAGTCGCGGTGAACCAATAGAAAAATATTTAACGAATTGAAAGAATGGGCCAGCTTATCACGACTATCACTACAATTATTTCTACCGATAATCCTCGACTACTACTACAGCAATAATTATAACCGTTTAATCATGAATTCACTGCGATTAAACACGGGCCTAAATGTGATAATGACGTTAAGGTATTAATGATAAGAAAGCAACAGAATCTATGTTTTTTGTAACCATTTAGATCCATTGGATCTCATGGACTCACGCTCTCTGTGAGAGCACCGTTTACCCCTCCACGTTTTGTTTTTTTTTTGTAAAGAATCTTCAGTAATCGTAAAGCTGGTTGAAAATATGATATTTAAATATAGAATCTTTTTTATTGTTGAAGGATCGTTATGCATTAGAAGTTTATTGTTTATGGACGCGCTGAGAAAAAAATGACGTAATATCACAAAACTAATGACGTTAATCAATCAAATCAGGTTGTCGAGATTATGTGAAGAATTCACGACTTGAACGTGAACACTTCTTGATGAAGTGGGAATTTCTTGGCTCAAGAAATCATGCTCTTTGTGTCTGGAGATGAGAAAATGACTTAAAATACTAAAAACTTTGACCCACGCTATTGGAAAAAAATTGAAATGGTGTAGTAATTTCCAGGGGAGTGACATTGAGTGCGATTTTGGGGGGAAAAATTATAAAATGTCGGATTTCACTAAAAATTCAATGAAATTGTAAATTTTTGAGCAGCAGAAAGACGAGAATTCTTCCATTTACATAAATTTCCAATCAAAGTACTGATATTTTAGTATCAAATTGCGTTCGAATTTCGATTACTTGAAAATTACAAAATACATTTTCGTGGAATAATTGAACTGAAATTTATAATTTCCATTGATCTTTCCATAAAATTTGGAATTTTCAGCGACGAAATTTCTTGAAATTGAAATGACATTAATTTGATAAAAATTTGCAAGAAAAGTACCGGGAGTTTCAGCCAATAATAACGAATTAGGGGCTTTTGTATTGAATAAATGCAGAAAGCATGAAAAAATCTCCAGATATTTCTTGAAAATAAACAGAAAATATGGGCTTCTTTCGAAAAAGAAAAAAATTGCAGGAGCATTGATTTCTTGTCTAAAATTCATAGTTGATTGATGGACTAAAAACATCAAAAACCCACAATATTAGAAAAAAAATTGTAATTGTATGTAATTTTTAGGCGGGTGACATTGAATTCGATTTAGGAGAAAAAATTATAAAATGTCTAATTTCACTAAAAATTCAATGAAATTCCAAAATTTTGATCAACAGAAAGACGGGGATTCCCCCGTTTACATGAATGTCCAATCAACGCATTAATATTCAGTATCAAATTGCGTTCGAATTTTAATTATTAAAAAATTCAGGAATACACTTTCCTGAATTTTCTTGTTTTTCATCAATTTTCCTATAATAATTGAACTAAAATTTGCAGTTTCCCTAAATTTTTCCCTGAAATTTTGAATTTCCAGTGACAAAATTCCTTGAAATTCCTTGAAATCTCCCAGAAATTTTAGCCAATAATTTTCACTCATAAATAAAAATCATAAAAAAAGAAATCTCCAGATATTTATGGAAAATAAACAGAATGTGGTCTTCCCTCGAAAACGAAAATAAATTAAGGAGCACTGATTTCTTATCTGAGACCCATAATTGATTGATTGATAATGCTGTTTTCATAGCTGAAGGAATTATTTTTGTGAGATATGGTCATTTATTCTCGCAGTGTGTCAAGCACAAGTTAATGGAGAAGAACGTTACAATTACTTATGTATGAACAAGGTCAGTTATATAGGCCTCATGTACTTGATGGTCATGTGAACGTATGGGTACTTATACAAAATCTCATCGAGCTAATTTCATTAACTAGCGTTTCACGATTGAGAATAACAATTTCCATAATGGAACTGAAAATCAACAAATTCTACCTATTTCTCATTTTTCTGTTCGACTGGTGTCAGATGAGGGCATTATTACGTTTGAGCGAGCATTCGAGGGTGAAAACTCGACAGCGGACTGATGTGACTCACATTGAGTTTCTCTCGAGCCGTCAATTTTCACTTGTTCTCATAGAGAATGCAATACTATGTATTGCATGACAACAGCATTGAAATTATGTTCAGATGCTCCCAGATGTTACATATTAGAGAACTATCAGTGTTTCGATCCCACAGAATGCACATTAATAACCGAAATTGGTGAATATATTCAGAAAAGTTTTTTTATCGCCGTTGACGGACGATAATTGTTGGCTCTGCATCTCGCACAGATACACCAATGATACCCACAACAGAAATATCATATTATTACGTTAATATGTATGAAAATATTATATTATATATAAGAAATTTGTATCAATGTTATTGCCTATGAAATGTGAAATAAATGTTTTCTTTTCCAACCTTCTATTAAAGAAGTCTTTGTTTGGGGATTCGGGAGAACTTAGAGGTAAGAACTTAGTCTTTGAAGATTAAAAGAGATGATTGATAAAGGAGTTGGAATCAGTCACTGGCATTGGATTAAAAAAATGAATAAAATCCACTGAATCGAGGAAAATTTCGACTGGAAGTCACTCCACACACGAAAGAAAAAAAAATAGTTTTTCTCAATTATATCATTTTTCAGTGAAAATTGACACTAGAATGACTCACACGATACGAATTGAAAGACTAGACAGCTAACAGACACGACTGATTATTAGATCCATTATTATCATAAAAAATTGTTATTTAGAGTTGATATGACTTATTAGCTTTATAAAAAAAATCGCATGATGAAATAACGATACGGGCTAAACGACACACGAATGCACAATTAGTAATGGTTTAATCTTATTTCCACGAATGAAAGAGTAGAAGAGAAATCCACTGCATCGAGAAAAATTTCGACTGGAAATCACTCCACAAACGAAAATTATTCTCTGATAATTGCAAATGATAATTGATAAAGCGTTGAATCACTCACCGGCGTTGGATGAAAACAACAGCTCCGTTTTCACCTCAGCAATCAGCTATACGACCGTCGAAACCCTCTCACATGCACTTACACTCACAAAACAGATGATTTTATTTTCACTAACGAAAGAACATGGAAGAAGTCCACTGAATCGAGAAAAATTTCGGCTAGAAGTCACTCCGCGCACAAAAACAAAAATAGTTTTCCTGAATTATATCATTTTTCAGTGAAAATCGACACTAGAATCATCCCATGACACGAGTTGAAACACTAGACAGTTCAGAGACACGATGAGACTAGTTATTGGGTCCATTATCACCACAAGAAATGATTATTTAGTTAATATGACTTGCTAATTTTATAAAAATTATCACATGATGAAATAACCACACGGACTAAATAACACAATGAATACACAACTAGTAATAAACCATTAAGTTTATCAACAAACGACTTTATAAAAGAAAGCATAGTTAAGGGAGAATAACGCATAGTTTGGAAAAAAATATTTTTGCCAAATATCCATTTACTTGAGAGAAGTATTTATTTCTTCAATATCGTATTTTTCCAGTCGAGTCATTCCCAGGCAATTCTCATTAGGTTTCAATTATGAGAGTTGTATTGTTCTAGAAGATGATCATGTTAGTTATAACCTTGAGTGAACTCTATCAATAAACATTAAAAAATCAAAATTAATGAAAATGAATTAATTAAAATTAATTTTTAAAAATTATAAACATTGAAAACTTAATCGAAATTCTTCCTTGTAGAAAATAATCAATTTAGGAAAAATTAATAATCAATTGAGAAGTTCATCCAAGGTCATGTTCATCATGGTCATCCTCTAGAGCAACATGATTGCTATAATTGAAACCTAATCAGGTTCGCCTGGGAGTGCCTCAATTGGAGAAATACGATTTTGAAAAAATAAATACTTCTCTCAAGTAAATGAATATTTGGCAAAAATATTTCTTTTCTCAGTGTGGTGAAGAACTTATTCCCTGAAAATTGAAAATGATGCTTGATGAAGAGTTGGAATCACTCACCGGCGTTGGATGAAAACAACAGCTCCGTTTTCACCTCTGTAACTAGCTCCCGCTCTCGAAATCATAGGGTCTGATGATCTGAGATGCACTTACACTCACACAACAAATGATGTCAGTTCCACTAATGAAAGAATATGAAAGAAATCCACTGAAGCGACTAAAATTTCGGCTAGAAACCACTCCACACACGAAAGCACAAGAATAGTTTTTTAATTTCATAATTTTTTGGTAATAATTGACACTTGAACCACTTAAAAGACACGAATTAGAACACTCGACAGTGCAGAGACAAAACAGACGACTAACTACCAACAAAGAACGGTGTTCTCGATTCGTCTGATCTTTTTTCACCCTAGAGAATGATTATTTGCTTGATATGACCTATAAATGTTACAAAAATGCTTCTTATATCGCAAAATAACCGCACAAATAACTGTTTATCAACAAACAAAGATTCCCGAGCGACATTCTCACTCCTTTGAGTTCATTGTCACAATAAATAAGACTCAATTCATGCTTTTTTTGTGACAAAACCACTGATATCACACGAATTGGACCACTACGCACTTCAGTTCAGAGACAACAAATGATTAATCGTCAACAAAGAAAGTCTCCCGGCGGGTGTTCTCGATGCGTGGAGGGCTTTCTCACCCCAGAGATTCATTATTTGTTTGATAGAACCTATCAACTTCATAAAAATCGTTGTCACATCACAATAAAACAACACTAATACCTGTTTATCGACGAATCAAGGAACTCCGAGCGACATTTTCACAACTTTGGGTTCATTGTCCCAATAAAATGGACCCAATTCGTGCTTTTTTCGAGACAAAATCACTGGCACATATCACGAATTTTAACACTAGACACTTCAGTTCAGAGACACAATAAACGATTAATTGAGAACAAAGGGAGGCTCCCGGCTGGCGTTCTCGATCCACTGAATGTTTTCTCACCCCAGAGTCATTATTTGTTTGATATGAGCCATCGACTTTATAAAAATACCTCTTACATCCCAAAATAAGCGCACCAATCACTGTTTGTCAACAAACGAAAACTCGCGAGGGCCATTTCCACTACTTTATTTACTTTACTTTAGTCAATTATCACAATAAAAAAGACAATTTCTGCTCGTCTCATGAGAAATCACTGGCACACATCACACGATTCGGAACACTAGACAATTCAGAAACACAAAGATGACCAATTGAGAACAAAGGGAGGCTCCCGGCCGGCGTTCTCGATCTGTTCGATCCTTTCTCACCCGAAAGAGTCATAATTTGTTTGGTACGAGCCATCGACTTCATGAAAATGCTCGTCACATCACTAAATAACTGCACTTATAACTGATTATCACGAAACAAAGATTTCCGAGCGACCTTCTACTACTTCGAAGCCACAATTCATCTTTGTCACACGACAAATCATCACGCGTTGCTTCAAACGAATCCTTTGTTCTCAGTTTTGTTGACGTTCGAACCCAAGCGCCGGCTGCTCACGCTACTAGTCCGATATCTCACGGATATATCCATTCCTTTTCATGTGTGTGCGCGAGTCGATGGATTCGAAATGCAACTGACAAACGGTAACTCCGGAGCCGCCGGAGTCGCCGGTGTGAGGGGGGAAATACTAGGTGATGCCAATATGGCGTCTGTTTGGAGAGAATCCTGCGCACCTCCAAGACACACTGCGCACCACAAGTGCGGGAGTTTTCAATAAATCTTACTCTATATATTTTGAGATGAACGACCGTTAGACTGTGGACACTGTCCTGAACAGCCGGAGCCATTAAACATCAAATAATAATAATTTGAGATGTCCGTTTCTCTGCAAATTCATGAAAGGTTCTAGAAAATTTCGCGAAATCCTTCCGAAAAGTTCGCGAATCGTCTGGAAAACTCTACAATTTTCCAATGCAGAATTATTCAAGATGAGTCTGGAATGTTCTAGTGAAATCTTTAGGAATTTCGTGAGTAATTCAGAAGCTAACACTTCGGAAAATTATAGAAGGTTCTAGGAAGTTATGAAAAAGAGCAGTTTTTTGCGAGGGAATTTTTACATTAATTTTTGCTCAGGATTATAAAATACGTTGGTAAATAACAGTTTTTTACCGACGTAATTTACGTAAATTACCTGGACAGATTTTTTACATTTTTTACATTACTTCGAAAAGCTTACAATTTTTCGATTACTAGAACGTTTTATTTTATTCCGACTAACGAAGACACAGTATTGGACACATAAATATCATAAAAGATATTATGTCCCGAGGACAGATAAACCACTAATTTTAATTTCACTTTGTTCGGTTAGAACGCGGTTCTCGGTACTTGGAGCATAATAGTATATTTCGATACGATTGCTGAATAGTATTTTTCCGGCCTGTTGCGATGGGGTTTTTTACTCGTGTGGCGTTGGCTTCCGAGCCGTAGGCGAGGACTGGCCAACCACACGAGTAAAAAAACCCCATCGCAACAGCCCAGGAACAATATTTTTCTGTAGTGATTTTCAAGTTTTCGAGTTTGAGAAGTATCTATTACCAATTCCCAGACGAGAAATCGTGAGAAGCAGTACAGAAAAAGTGTTTTTGGACTCGTGGGAGGTTTAAAGCACGAGCCGAGGGCGAGTGATATAATCCCACGAGTCTAAAAACACTTTTCCCGCGAGTATCGAACCCTATTTTTCATCACAATGTGTGGGAAGTGGGGTAGCGTGCGTAAAATGTCACTTTACACACAACGTGATGAAAAAAATTATTTTATGCCCCTAGGACCGTAAAACCGCGATTCTAACATCGATTCCCTCGGTTGAGTCGCGGTTTCCGGTCCCAGAGACATAATAGTACATTAGAGTACAAGGGCACAAATTTCGTTTTCAACGAATGTGTAGTTTACAGGCCGAGCCGAAGGCGAGGTCTGTACACACATTCGTTGAAAACGAAATTTATTACCGAGTGCTCTATAATATTTTATGTCAAGTCGTGCAGAAGTCGAGCATTGAGCAAGCTGCGCGAAGCGCAGCGTGCGATAAACTCGACTTATTGCACGGCGCGACATAAAATATTGTCTATCGCACGGCGATCGAACAATTTTCTGACTCATGTGATTAAAATCCTCGTCTTCGGCTTGATACCATGCATTGACCCCGGCCGATAGGACAAGTTTATGGGTCGATGCATGGTCTCGACACCGTACGTGAGGAGTTAAATTACAAAATTATTCAGTAGTAATACTCCAAGAGCTTCAAAATTATCGGTCATTTAACGATAGCTTTCGCACGACGGTTTTTTTGCAGGGGAGCTTGAGGGAAATACCTGATTAATTTTGAATCTCGAGGGGTATTTGTCGGATTATTTTTCCCATTCGGATTTTGGCCAAGTAGCCTGCAGTGGACAACATCAGGAGGTGAATTGGGGAAGATTTGAACAAATTATGTTAATAGATTAACCCGATTTCCATAGAATGTCAAATACAAGATTCTGTCTGAAATGAGCCGAAAAAATGAAGAGCTACTGCAAAATATTCAGGTAAAAAAAATGAAGAACTACTGCGAAATATTCAAAAGCTAGGAGGAAATACCCGAAATAAAACTGTCGGGTAGCCTCAAATACTGCGCTGTGATTGGTCGAAATCCGATTGGGAAAAATAATCAGCAGAATTTTCAAATTCAACCGCTCCATCCCAGTCGATATAGCAGTTATCTTAGTGTCCAACGTCGCAACTAGCACCCTGCGTTACAGTGTTGTTGGATATGGCCCCATGTTGTCCCATTCATTCAATCAACTGAAAGCTAATCACTGAGTCTGAGTGACAAGTTCCCCCTAACACGAGTGAATCTCGAAAATGTCAACATTATCAAGAGGATAAACGATTGTTGATTGGATGACATCTGTCGTAGTTCTGGAATGCCAACTGTATCAAAGCGGTAGACAGTCATTCGCATTTTTAACGATTGTTAAGCAAAAAAAAAATCTTATCAATGATTGCAAACATCTGCATTCTTCAGTTGCAGGATATCTTCATTGTTATTTAACTGGCACAGCAACGAATGCTCCATCAAAACGAAAAAGGCTCTAAGAGCCTTTCCACGGTGACATTGAGTAATTACAATGTCCAATGTGCAATTAAGCAGTACGGCGCTGCATCATACTGTAAGTGCAAGAGGCCAAAACCAAGTGAGCGCCTTTTACACACCTCTCACTTCGTTCGCTGGTAAGTTTTTACAGAAAAATTAATTGTACCTAGTGTAATATGCCTTTTCAATTAGCCTTATAATCTCTGTGAAATTTTCTCTCCATTTTTAAGAAATGTGGTATCAAATCTTCTTATGGGCATTATTCTCATCGATATTTGTCCACACAATTGCGGCCGCAATTTGTTTCGCGACATTACGAAAACACAAATATGGAAAGTAAGTTCAATGTTAATAATTAGATTTATATTGATAGCATCTATGTTAGATAAATTTAAAACAATCGTTTGACAGTATGATTTTTCACGTCGAAGGGTGATTTAAGGATGTTTAGCCATTGTTGGTAAATGTGTTTTTTTTTCATGGTCAAGGAAAATTCTGTAATTTTTTGGCTGACAGCAGAACATATAAAACTAACTATTCTAACGTTGAAAAAATTAATTCCAATAGTCTCGGCTGGAATGAATAAACTGACTTTTCCTTATACACGGGCTCTTATGAAATTTATGTTCAAATTGATAATTCACCTACTAGAACACTCTGAAAATAGAAATAAAAATAGAAGGTAATGTGTACAATCATACTGAATCCAATGGCCTGAGAAAAATCTGGGGTACCCGGGCAAAAAGAGGAAATATTTGAATGGTTCTATCCCATATAAGCGCATGTTAGCGCATGCATCTGCTGCATTTTGTCTATTTCATTTCTAAATAATGAACATGGGTTGGTGGATTGAAACTTGTATCAAAGTGAAGGGAATATCTTCATCTCTCAGTTTAAACAAACTCAATTTTCTTAAGGACTTGCGATTTTGGATATACATCCTTAAATATTCAATTGGGCTGGAATTAATTTATTCAATAGGATGACGTTGAATTCGACATGAGAAAAATTAAGTTTCTTTCCCTGTTTAGAATGTGTCATGAAATAATGGAGCATTTGTAACTAATATTCCACAAATTCGTGTTACATATCATCTCAGTGGTCTAAAGATGATTTTTTAAATAAGTGAATCCACGCTAAATACGCAGGACAAAAAAGTCGATGCTGGGGCTTTTCGTCTCAATTTTTTTCTGAAAATATGACGATTAGACAAAAATTTTGAAAAAATAAAAATTGAAAAATATGGATCATTGAGAGAGTTATGATTTTTTGAAAATTGCTAGGTTTTTCAAAAAAAATTTTTTTCTAAATTGGCGCCAATCTCTCTGCGAGGGTTCAAGCTATCAAATCGCCCTTTGGCATACTCAAAGAACATGAAAAACCCTTCAAAATGAGACATCATACATGACATTATTTTTCGTTTGGCGGGGTTTATGCGAGAAAACGTTTTTTTTAATCGTTAGTTACTTAATTAAAAAGCTAATTTTAAAAAAATCTGAAATTTTCATCAAAAATTGACAATAGAATGTCAAGAATTTTTGAGCCAATTGGAGTTTGTCTTTCATCGTAGTTCGGCGGTTATTAATTTTTTCATTGATACAAGTATTGAAAATCACGGAAAATCGCAATTATTCATGCAATTGTCGCCCAAATAAGTGAATATTCAATTGAATATTAGCAAATGGTGGAGGTTAGACTCATCATATCTTCTATTATTCATCTTCACTATAATTTTTTGAGTGAAAAATTATTATGTCTCTAATTACACAATGGAAATACATTTTTCAAAGAGCTTTCATTCGTTATTAATTGAGAATGTAATTGAATTGACTCATTTTTAATCATTCAATTGGATATTTGCTCATTCGGGGATAATTGCATCAATAATATCGATTTTCGGTCATTTTCAATACTTGCCCCACTGAAAAAAATTATAACCGCCGAACTATGGCGAAAAACAAACTCTAATTGGCGTCAAAATTCCTTTCATTCTCTTGCCAATTTTTTGTGAAAATTGGCGTGAATCTGCTCACGTGCAAAAATAGTTTAGTCAGTTTTTTTCTACAATAGTTTCCATGGAATGCTTTAACTGACGCTCTGACTCCTTTGTTCAGATTCTTCCCATTACTAATTCTAATAATGGGATTTCTACTGCCACTTACGTCCGGCGTACTAAACTCAGCAACAGTTGCATTTGTCTATCGTGCATCAAGTTATCAAATGCCACCCCTGTACGCACTATTCTGGGGAATCGGACAAACGGTTCTGGCAGGTTGCATTGGCTTCACGAGGATATTAGCCACTCTATAGATCTCGCAACAGTTCTGGTGAAACCAGGAGAAAAAAATAAAAACGTGAATGATATGGAACTGCTGCACGTATTTGAATAAACAAAAACACTACCTCCACCGTGCATTCTTTCATGGCATTAATAATTAATCACTCGAATTGTAAATCTAGGGTAACATCGATTATCAGTTCCTCATCTAATTTGCAAATAGGGAGATTCCTTTGATTAATGAAACACGATGGTTGTCGGTTGATGCGATATCACAGGATCCATCAAAAATCATTCCTTAACTCACTGACGTCTTTCTTGTGATTTGTGACTGTGACCAGTGACGACGTACATCACTTCATTTTTATATTCACGGTTCAATCTTTTTTTTGTTATGTTGTTTCGGTTGTTTTCGCAGCAATTCAATTTTATGCCATTTTCGTATCACGTTACATGCCGTCTTTCTGTTCAGTAATTTTTATCAAAATTTTAGAGAGAAGATGGAGTCTTCTACTTTCATTCACGTGTAAACATTAAATATTGAAAGCTCAAATGACTGCAGTACTTTGAATTCCATTCAAAATCATTATTTGAGACTAGCTTTATTCACGTAATGTTTAATTTTTAACTACAAAAATGGATTAGTTAGTTTTTTTTCTACAATAATTTCCGTGGACTGTTTTAATTGACGCTCCGACTCTTTTGTTCAGATTTTTTTCCATTCAATTCCATTCAACATCATTATTTGATGCTAGCTTGATTCATGTAAAGTTCATACAATTTCCGTCTAGCTACAGACGAAAAAAACTTAAATAAAAAAAAATATATATTTTTTTCGTTCTATAAATCGTCAATTTTCGCACAAAGTTGTTCCGAAATAAAGTAGCGAGATACTTGGATGATTCATAGGATCACACATGATGTTGGTAAACGAAGGACAAAAAAAACATCAGTATATTGAGTCCGTACAATTGTACCATCCTTTTTACCTCATATTTGAGTCCAAACACAATATTCGTAAAAAAGTTAATGTTAAGCAATAGTCTGTTCTGTATATAAACTCAATATACGTTTTCCGATAGAGTAATGGGCGGAAGCTAATATATATAATCACCGATGATTTAATTATCACGTTATATTTATGTATATTATACAAAATTAATCATGCGTAATTAATTTTTAAACGAAAAACAACGTAATGAAAGTGACTAAGGAGGTCAGTATGGGAAATTGTTCTCTGCTGGAGAAATAAAATCGTGTCTGAAAGGGGAATTCTCTGTTACAAGAATCATTTCCTTGATATGTACTTTCAATTTCAGATGGGAACCATAAAAATTTCCAATAATAGGAAATTCTCTCGATCCAACGACTGTTTAAACGCGCCCAATTGTTAAACTAATTTACTTTTATCGTAGAACAAATGCTTAATGCGGTGAAATGGAGCTATTAGATTATGAACATGGAAAAATAATTGAGATAACGTCCGAAAGATAATCGATCTGGGCCTTAATTGCTCAATTTAATGATGGAAAATCACTAGAATCTGGGGTTTATCATCCGTACAACATTCCGGAGTTTTTTCTTTTTTTCTGTGAACTCAAAAATTTTTTTCGAATTTTGTGTAAAACTGAAAATTTTCTCGAATTTTTTCGAAATTCGGAGAATTTTTTCGAATTGTTTAGAAAATCTAAGAATTTCCTGGAATTTTCTGTAAAACCAAAGGATTTTCTCGAACAGAAAACCCGAGATTCTTCAAACTCTGTAGAAAACTCAAAAATATTCTCGAAAACTCGAGAATACTCTCGAATTTTCCAAAATTTTCCATAAAACTCTAGAATTTTTCCACAAGTTTCAATGGTGTATACTAAACTATGCACCGTAGTGCTATAACTTATAGCCTAAAGCCCATTGGGGACCCTATACTATGCAATAGTAAAAAAACCATTGAAATCCATTCAGTCATTTTTGCCAAAGAAGATTTATTATATTTACGATCACCAGTACTCCCGGGCGATCTACTCGGTGAACCCTTAGATGTTTCTAAGGTATTAATTACTTAATTAAAACTATTAATTAATACTGTAGTAATATACAAGCAATTTCCCACTTGTTTTCTTAAATTATATACTATATCAATATCGTACCAATTTCCCACTTATTTTTTTAACTAGAGAATTATTTTTTTCAAATTGCTGAAATGTTCCGTCAAATACTTCAGACACTTGAAAAAATAATGTGCCCCCCCCCCCCCTTAATTAATTCTTCATAAATCTCTAACAATGCACTCGCTACAAATCCAAGTTTACTCGGTCATGTTTCCGGCAAATTCTCCATTGCATGCACACTCTGTCTGAAAAATATATCGGTGCGCAAGCGTACCCAGCGCAAACACCACCAGCAATGGCCTGGACCTAGTGAAAAAATCTTCCACCGCTCTGCGAAAATGTCCCGTGTAAAGATACGCACCCAAAATTTACAGATTACAAAGAATTGTGAGATGTGACGAAAAACATTGCAAGTTATTGCCACTCAACCGAGAATGTTTTGATACTCTCAATGAGTCCCCATTCTCTCGATTTGTCTCACTTTTCCGGCAATATCGATTACATCGGTCCGGTGTTATGAATATCCTGGGAATGTGTATCCTCATTTGATACTTAATGTCAATTTACCGAGGAAATTAATATTCAGAACAAATTGACGAATGATCTGTGGAAAATTTATCGACATTTGGATATGTACCACGGTGAGTGTTATTGCAATTAATTATTCTTACTCTAAATAAAAATTCAACCACATAAGATAGCAATTATATGTATTTTGGGTAGTAATGCATGCTAACCAAAGTAGACTACTAATACATTTTGTTTGTATACAATATCGGCATGCCGATAATTGTAGCTGGCTTAGTATTTAGTATACTTATGATACAATTTAACAGAAAAATTTTGCGAATTCGCTAGAAAATCCTATTGGGATTTCATTAAAATTCTAGGGAATTCTCGTTTAAATTCTATTTGTTTTTTTTTTGCGCTGATTTTATGAGATATTTGATAGGAAAAAGTCAATAGAATTCGATTTTTCTATATGAATATTCTCTGGGAATTTTTTCTATAAGAATGTTTGGGCATGAATTTTCTAAGTTTTTTCACTCGGATCCTGTAATACAAAATAAAATAAAATATAGCGGAACAAACTGGGAAAATCTGTGTCCAATAATTTCAATAAAAAAATCTCAAGAGAAAGATTTAAACAGAAAAATCTCAAATATCGCATTTGATATTTAATGTCAATTTACCGAGGAAATTAATATTCACACCAAATTAACGAATGATCTGTGGGAAATCTATCGACATTTGGATATGTACCACTGTGAGTATGCATATCCAAAACAAATGCAGTGATTAATTGCAGTGATTGCAGTTAATCATTCTTACTTTAAATAACAATTCAACCACATAAGATAGCAATTATATTTTGGGTAGTAATGTATGCTAGACTAGTAACAGTAGACTAGTAATACATTCTGTGTGTATACAATATCGTCATGCCGATAATTGTAGCTAGTATTTAGTACACGTATGAAAAAATTTAATAGAAAAACTTTGCGAATTCGCTAGAAAATTCTATTGGAATTCTATTAAAATTGTAGGGAATTCTCGTTTGAATTCTATTTGTTTTTTCGCGCTGATTCTATGAGATATTTGAAAGGAAAAAAAGAAAGTGAATAGATTTCGATTTTTCTATATGAATATTCTCTGGGAATTTTGTCTGTAAGACTGCTTGGGCATGAATTTTCCAAGTTTTTTTAAAAAACTTGGAAAAACGAAAATATAATATAAAAAACAAGACAAAATATAGCGGAAAAAATTAGAAAATCGTGCTCAATAGCTTTAATAGAAAAAATCTCAGGAGAAAAATTCAAACAGAAAAATTGAAATCTATTAACCGTTTCCTATCAAATATCTAATAAAATCCTCACAGAATGTCTAGAGAATTCCAATAGAATTTTTGAGCAAATTCTAAGCTTTTCTATTGAATTTATTCATACGTGTAATAACTTACGGTTTCGAATACTCAAAACAATTTTTCAATTATAGGTCTATTTGTGGAGAAACAATCGCCCGTTAGTAATTAAATCCGATTTTCTGTATTGAGTTTCAACTTTGTAAATTTCACACAACAATTTCCCAAGATGGAAATAAGGCGAGGATCTTTCATTAAAAAAATCATCCTGATAATTTGTTTTCTACTGATACTTTCTTGGATAATATTGAACGATACTTCCTGCCTATTTGGGGGTATCACACGGAAAATAACGCTCCAGCGAATCCGACTAACTGCATTCCAGGAAATTCATTTGAAGCGTACTATTGGGGAAATTAAAGTCGAGGAGATTCCATTAGATGAACTTCTGAATGTTGAAGTTAATGTAACGAGTAAAGTTCAAGTCGTGCCTTTGTGGACTAATAACGATAGTTTGACAGACAGTATCGATGTATCACCTAAATACAGAGTTCTGAAGCAACAGGGACTGGTACCTACTAGACAATTACCAAGTGCTTTGATTATTGGGGTGAAGAAAGGGGGAACGAGAGCGCTTTTGGAATTTTTGAGGTTGCATCCGGATATTCGAGCCGCGGGCTCTGAAGTTCACTTTTTCGATCATCATTATCCGAAAGGATTCCATTGGTACAGGTGAGAGTTGACTACAGATTAATGATTCAATTTTGGTTGTTTAATTGAGTTGGGAGTGAGTTTTGTTTTTATGAATATTTCCGAGTCTAATGGAAACGATGAAAATTCAGTAGCGAGCGGTAAAACCGTTCAAGTGGATTTTGACTATTGCTCAGTTTTCAATGAATATTTCGGAATCTAAAGCAGATAGCGACGTATATGTTATGACCTTTTTTGTAGAGGGAATTGAGGGCTACGAAGAAGGTCATTACGAAAATTTTGCTATCTCCATTAGATTCGGAGATATTCGTCAAAAACTCAGCTAAGAGCTAAGTTGGGTACTTCTTGTACATCTCGATATATTCTTTAGAAACTCATTGATTTCCAAGCGGAACCCCTTATTAGTGCTTTTACCCCACTGCACCACAGATTTAATTCTCAATTCATAGGCACCGAATGCCGCCGACTCTAGAAGGCCAAGTGACAATGGAGAAAACCCCCTCGTACTTCATAACAGTGGAAGCGCCGAGAAGAGTTCAACTCATGAACCCAGGCACAAAATTGATTGTCGTTGTTCGGGATCCCGTGACGAGAGCAATCTCTGACTATACTCAAGTCAAGAGTAAGCGTCCGAACCTCCCGAAATTTGAAGAGAGAGCCTTTGTCAATGGCTCACAAATCGTCGACACTAACTGGGCTCCACTGAGGATTGGAGTATATTCGCGATATTTAGAACGTTGGCTCCAGTATTTCCCCCTTTCTCAGTTACTTTTTGTATCGGGGGAGAAACTGATTGCTGATCCAGTGTTTGAGATTACAAGAGTTCAGGATTTTCTGGGATTGAAACGAGTGATTTCCGAAAAACATTTTTACTTCAATTCGACGAAGGGGTTCCCTTGCTTGAAGAAGTCTGAGCGGAGTGCTGCTCCTCATTGTTTAGGTAATTTCTGACATTTTCATTCAAATCTGTAATTATTGATTTTTATTTTTGTTATTATTACCGCTCATTTGATGAAGAAAATCTCTGCGTCGATATAACCAAAACGAGCTTTAGTTTGAGACTTCTGATCTCAAATTGAGACTTTGGAAAGTTCAAGTTGAGTTCCGAAAGTTTTAACATGAGGCTTTGAAAGTCTCACATTGAAGCTTTCAAAAGTCTCACTTTGAGACTTTGAAAGTCTCAAAGTAAAACTTTCCAAAGTCTCAACCTGCGACTTTCAGAAGGCTTAAATTCCGATGTCAAAGTCTAAAATTAAGACTTTCAAAGCTCTCAATTTAGGAATTTCAGACTTAAAATTGAGACTTTTGAAAATGTTATTTCGAGAAATTATTTTAACAGTTACAACTTGAGACTTTTTACAATTTCAAATTGTGACTTTCAAAAGTCTTAATTTGAGACTTTCAGAATTTCAAGTTGAATTCTGTGTCTTAATTGGAGGTATTCAAAAGTATCAACTTGAGTCTATGAATCTTTCAAATTGAGACCTGCCGAAGTCTCAACTTGCAACTCAACGTCTCAAATTGTGACTTTCAAGTCTCAAGTTGAGACTTTCAGAACTCCCTTTACAAAAAATTTTCAAGTTGCGTTCCGAAAATCTTAATTTGAGATATCCAAAAGTTTCAACTTGAGCCTTTGAAAGTCTCTAATTAAAACCTTCAAAAATCTCAACTTGAGACTTTAAAAGTCCCAAATTAAGACCTTCCGAAGTCTCAACTTGTAACTTTCACAAGACTTAATTTGAGATCTCAAAGTCTCAAATTGACACATTCGAAACTCTCAACTCAAGAATTTCAGATTTCAAATTAATCCTTGAACATCTTATTTCAAGACCTTCGAAGTCCGAAAATAAGGTTTTTTTTGGGTAAAATGGTTTTTCGACAAATTATACTTCTATACTTCTACATAAATTCGATCGATTAATCTCTTAAATTTTCACTTGAAGGAAAAACCAAAGGTCGAAGTCATCCCCACATTGAGCAAACAGCAATCGAGCGACTACGGGACTTCTACCGACCCTTTAATCAACGATTCTATCAGCTCACTGGCATAAATTTCGAGTGGACTTAATGAATAATCTAACTGATGCTATTTTACGTACAATTATTACTTTCTAAACATATCCTAGATTATCCAACGAAAGAGCAACTGTTCCCTTCTCCCCCTTACGAAAAAATTCTACAGGCTCATTCTCCTCCAGAAGGATTACAGAAATTTTTCATACTTCTTTCACCTGTTCCATTCTGATACTATCGATTCCGTTCAATAATCCCTGATCCATACTCGAGGGGACAAACTATAAAAAGTACTGTAAAAAAATCATATCACGCAATCTAAGGAAAATTCATCAATGAAAAGAGAAGAAACTATTTGCACGCTTTTGCTCAATGACTACATGTACAAAATTATTACTGTAAATATCACAAAGAAAATGAAATTGTAAATAGCCAGAACAATGCGGATAAGTATTTGGTTTCGTCGAGTTTGTTAACTCCAGTCGAACCTAGCTATATCAAATAGACTGATGCATATATTTAGGTAAATCATTGTAGGAATAAATGTCAGTACGCATCAAACAAGATGTAGTTTTTGGAAATATATATATTTCTGTCAACAGAATAAACGACATTGTGTCTCTTTGCGTTCTACTTACGATTATCCATTTTTTTTTCTATTTTTTTTTACAAAATTATCACAGTATTTTTGGGTACTGAATGTATCTATATACTTCTTACTGAGAAGATGCCATCAATATGTTAATTTCAACAGATCATTCGAGATAATACATTCGGTTCGGTAGCGGTACGATTCGTCGAATTCCAAATGGTACAATTTTTATTCGTTGAATCGTCATTGGGCGAATGGTTTTATTCGTCTAAAATCAATTCATCTAATGGTTTTGTTCGTCGAACGCACATTTCGGTCAAATTCTCAATTCGGTTGAAATCATTTTCGGGTTTTTTGTTGATATTAGAGGAAGAAAAGCTCGTATTCATTAAAATCACCTTAAAATTTTACAAATTCACAACGAGAACCAAAAAACTGAAGAAAAACATGATAATTTAATGATCGATTCACTCACTAATGGACAAATCTCAGACATTGCAAAAATGCATAAGTAGATAATGATGTGATAATGACTTGAGTTTAATTGTGGTTGACTCAGTTATATCCGCGATACACTTTTGTGTTTTTTTGTTTCCGAATGAAAGCTTGTTAAGGTAAATGATCCTACGCTCAATCAAAACATATAACCGTGCATGCAAAGATTCCGAGATATTCCTGTTTGTGTGTTTTTCCATTAAAATCCTACACGTTGTAACTTGTGCAAAAATCGAGCATATCAACTTGTTTTCTTAATTTCTCTTTCATCAACTTGTTAGATTCATTTTCTGTTCAAATAATTTTTTTTCGTCCAATTCATGAATGAAATGATTTTTTCGACGAATTGATCCATTCGACCAATTGGTTTTTCGACAAATTGTACCGTACCCATCTGATTCCACACATTAGTTGCTGATGTCCAAAATTTGCCTCGTACCATTTCCTCCTCGCACATTTCTTCCCCGACATTTTTTCCTCGAAAACTCATGCTAACACAAATTTTTTTCCCTTTTATTCCCTTTCCATGTACCTTGATTATTTTATTTATCAGGAAAAAAAGAGTATTGAATATTTAATTTTTTTTTTAATCATGAGGTGTTTGTGTGTGAGAAAAATATTACTAATAGACAAGAAAAATTCCCTTCCGATCATATTCTAACGATAGTTAAACTCATCGCTTATTCTCAACACAGGAAATTATCCTCTTTCAACGTTATTATCAAAAGTATTTTAGGAGTATTTTATTTTTGATTATTAGTAATGTTATACACACACACTGATGATCATTATTCATGAAAACTGCATATTGAATCATTTTTTCTTCTATGTAAATGACATTAATTGAGGGAATTAGAAGAAAATTTAAGGGGAAATATTAGTGCTAGGATCCGTTTTTGCGGAAGAAATAGTACGAGGAAAATTTGGAGAAAGAAAAGTCGATGAGTCTAGAATTACTCATGTACTAGATAATCGATTAATGGGAGTAATTTTTTGTCACCACAAACGAGATCGCCGCTGCGAAATTGAATGGCGTAACCGTAGGACTAAAATAGTTATAAAAAATTTTGTTCAATAATGTTATACTTGCTAGTAAAAACCATGAAAATTTCAACCAGAAATGATCAACAGTCACGTCATCTAAAATAAATATGGCATTACAAGGACACGAAGGAAGGCGATAATATTCTGCGCACAACGTCCTCTAAAAACCATATACTGATATTTTCAAATAAATACTGCATGCGCAAATGACAATTCTGTCATCACTTATTTAAATACTATTCATTAAACCTTCAATGAATTTCCATTTACCTCTCCACGATTAGTGAATTGATAGAGTTTACACAACTTAAGAAATACTTCTCATCGAATCGTTCATCTTTCAATAATTTAATATCTACCATTCAATAAAGTGCACGAGAGTGCATCGAGCAGAGATACACTGTTAAAAATTTTCGTCTGAATTCGTGTCAAATTCTGATAATTTTTATAGTGTTCAATTTCCACTGAAATTTCAGGAAATATTGTCATTGAAAAATCAAATATTCCATTGATTTTCTGTTCGAATGATCAGAAAATCAATGAAATACTCGAATTATCAGTTACATTATTCCGTAAAAATTCAGGAAAAATTGAAAATTCACGTCATTTTATTTCTGAATATTCATGTTCCCTTGAAATTGAAAGGAGTTTTAAAATTTCATAATCATTTTTCCCTTAAATCCAATTCAACGTCACTCTCATGAAATTACGTTCATATCTTCCATGCGTTTTCAAAAAATTTCCAACAGTGTACGTTATGGAATGATTTGACATCCAATTTCATATAATATACATCTATCATTATTCGTTCTTTGTTCACAACTCTGACTAATACTATAGTAATTATGAATATTATGTACAAAATATCGCATTCATCATAGTTTCACGGAGTTTATACGTTATTTTTCGTCTGATGATTGAGATAGCCCCGTTCTTTGAGAAGATCGTCCAATGCCTCTTGCGTATAATAAACAATTAAGTGGGACGGTTCTACCCCCTCGAATACAGCGTAAACAGACGGTTTCAGATTGTAGAAAAATAGTGGCTGTCCGCGTGCTGCAAAGTCCTTTGTCAATGTTTCGATGACAATTGCTGCTGTATAATCAGCACCGTAAACATGTGAACAGTCAATAACCACTGGTGTCACTGAATTACCAATACAACGACTGTATTTTGTCACTAAATTTCTCACGTAATCCACTGAGGGAAAGATTAGACAACGATCCGGTGTTAACATCAGGTACTCCACACCGCAACAAGTCTGAAATCATAAATAAATCATGAATTCATTATTCATTGGGGGAAATCATCGAGTTTTAGATTGGATGCAATACAACTCGAATTTATTGATTTTCATTTTCACTGTTGTTTTCATTATCAGCAATGGCTTCTATTTATTGAGGTCGTAAAACGGTACTGAGATTGCAAGGTAATTGTGCCAATTGTTTTCTCGTTGCGATCAGACAAGGAGGACTTTTACATTTTTTATGGTGATATTTTTATAATAGTATTTTCACGCGAGAAGAAATCAGAGAAGCAAAAAATCAAATAAGAAAGTACATTATTTTCAGTTGCATGAAGGGAACACCCAGAACAACAAACTTTATTTTGAGACTTATGATCTCAAGTTGAAATTTGCAAATATTTCAAATTGACAGTTTCAAAAGTCTCAAGTTGATACTTTCAATAGTCTCAAATTAAAACTTTTAAAAGTCTCAAGTTGAGTCTTTGAGAACTTCATTTGAAGAATAATTTCAAATTGAGCTCCGGAAATCTCAACTTGAAGTATTCAAAAGTATTGATTTAAGTCTATAAAAGTCTCACATTGAAACCTCATTGAAGTCTCAACTTGACACTTTTAGAAGGCTTAAGTTGAGATCTCAAAGTTGCAAATTTGGACCTTCCAAAGTCACAACTTGAGACTTTCAAAAGGCTTAATTTGAGGGTTCAAAGTCTCAAATGAAGACTTTCCAAAGTTTCACCTTGAGACCTTCCAAATGTTTAAATTGAGATCTCACACTTCCCAATTAAGAGCTTCCAAAGTCACAACTTGAGACTTTCAAAAGGCTTAAAATGAGGGTTCAAAATTTCAAATAAAACCTCCCAAACTCTCCACTTGAGACTTTTAAAAGGCTTAAGTTGAGATTTCAAAGTCTCAAATTAACACATTCCAAAGTCATTTTTCACAGAAAATACGAATTTACATAGCGTTCCATATCTTGTGACGTCACAGGATATTGTTGGGTAGAATTTTGCAGTAGATCGGAGAGGAACCAGGATAATTATCGATATTAGTTTACAAACAAAATTTACTAACAAAATTGGATTGTCCAGACCGGGATTTGAACCCGGGACCTTGCGATTCTGCATCCAGTGCATAATCGAAAGGTTTTGAGACTTTCGATTATAAAGTCGCAAATTACATAAAGTCAATTACAAAGTCGCACATTGAGACTTTCAAAACTATCAAACTACGACTTTTCAAAATATTATTTCGAGACATTTAAAATCTTAAAATAAGTTGTAATTTTTATGAGTGAACTATTTTCAAAATCATCTGAAATCTGTGGCATTAATTTGCTGAGATTTTTCCGCTCAACTATTCTCAACGATTAAAGCCTGGAGCATAACATGAGAATAAATTCAATGATCATCGTAATTTTTCCGTTCAGCACATGAATAACTATCAATATTCACAAAAAACACAAAAGCAATAATAATCCTTCGATATCTATTGTTCTGATCGAAACAACGTGAATAACAACATCATGAAGATTAATACTCACTCGTAATTTTTCCAAACAGATCTTTGGTCTCGCCGCGTGATACAGAATGAATAAAACATTGAGACCAATTCCAACGAGGATGCCTACTTCTAATTGGAGCACTAAGCATGCAACAAATGTGGCAATGCCTGGCACCAAGTCCGTTTCTGTTGAAACATAAAAACATAATAGTGATTATCTAAGATTATTTCCATCAACTCCTTCCCGCGTCGAAGAATCTAATGATAAGTCTAGTGCAAGTCTACGGAAGAATTGCGCGATCTTTGTTTCAAGGTGATCGTGTTGAACTGTCACGAGAAATATTTTTTTTTTCATGATATACATTTGATATCTGAACGAAGAGCGCGTGACTATTGCGACTTGCGCATTTTTTTGTATTTCCGCAATGCAAAATACCTTCATGTAATCTACATGTTTAATGATGAGGTCGTAAACCTTCTCCGCTCAAGAATAATGACATGATATTGTGTATATATTCACTGGTGGGTAATAATAGTTTTACTGCGAGTACAAAAAGTTATTTTAAGGATATCCAAGTACTTTGACTATATGCTCTCCAGTGAAATGCTTTTTTAAAATGATTTTATTATTTAAACTTTGCAGATCTGAATTTGAATCTCGATATTGAACCGTGAAGAAACATTTTAAAAATCAGAAAAAAAATAGAAAGTTTACTTTTGGAGAAAGATTGATGAAATAATTTAAAAATTGCAACCGAATTTTTTTTTGAAAATTCCGAGCATTTTCTATAAATAATTTGTGAACAATCAATTGTTCACCATCAAAATCATTTGTTCGGAATCATAACAAATTTCTTCATATTTAAAATTTTATCAGAAATCGATTTCATGCCTACAAAAAATTAGGTTTCCAAAAGTTTAAACAATTTCAATTATTTATTGGTAAACAACGAATGTTTAAAAAAATAATAATTCTGTGCAAAATGTAATTTGAATGACGCTGAATATTCATGATTTTTTTTTAAATTTTTCTCACGCAATTTAACTGACAAATTTGATGATTGAAAATGGTTGAATCTCTATACTAACAGAAAAAATCAGTTTTATCAATAGAATTTTATTTAAACCAACTATCATTTGATTGTTATTTTTCAAAGAAATACGATTTCATAGTGAACATCAGTTGTCTCTTCTTGAGATACATTTGATTGGGAGAAATCGAATTTCTCTAGAATTGAAGTTCCTTTCATTGGTTGCAATAATGAGAGTATTTAATTTCTTTCTAGCCAAAAGTTTGCCAACTCCAGAAATTCGTTGGTTTACTCAAAAATCAAAATCATTCTCATGACTAAATACGTTGTTATCTCAATCAACACGATCATACGTTGTTCCAAGTAAATTATAATTGAAGTGAGCATTTCGTATGTCGAATCAGGATGAATATTGTTATGCGGAAAAAGCTTTGAGATTGTAGTAAGATGTCGTTGAATTGAAAGAAGTTTGTATTTCTTGACTAAAAAAATCGCATTAGTTTACAATAACAGAATCACAGATTACGGCAATTCTATACAAACTTGGATATCACAAATTTCGTTCAATGTGATGTACGGAAAGCTCAATTTAAACATCGGCTTCATTCGAGAAAACAACATTCAATTCATTCCTCAATGTAATCATCTCCTAAATACGAATTTTTGATCAATTCATGAAAGTAGAAAATTTCTCGACTGGAGATAATATTAAGTTATATTAAGTAAAAAAATCGAACTTTTCCATTTTCGTGATGAATCCATATGATTTGACGCCAAGAACTGTTGTATTTGATTCAAGTAAATATATCTCACGAAGAAATAATTTATATTCACCGTATGATCTTATTCATTTGAAATTGGTTCAAGTGTACAATACTTGTTTTAAGAAAGAAACATCTCAATAAACATAATTTTTTCTATCAATATAGTCTGTACAATACTGTAAAAGATACTTGGATAGCCTTAAAGACGAATATGTAAGGTAATTAATTATTCCTGTTTATTATCACTCACTTTTTGTCCTCCACATGGGCTTTATTACCTTCACCTCAACCATAAAGATAACAGCGGCTATTATTATTGCTGCTAAGCATGCCTTCGGTATGTAGTAAAAATATGGAGTAAAAAACAATAGTGCTAGAATAACCAGGATGCCTGTTGGAAAAATACCAAAATACAATAGGTCATAAAGAGCATTACGAAAGTGTACCAAAAACTATAAAAATTACGATAAGAATTTTCCATTACCATGGATTGTAATGATTTACCTGTATAAAGTCCACCGAGCGGTGTTCTAACGCCTGAGGCATTATTAACAGCACTTCTGCTCAATGACCCACTACCGGGAAATGCCTGAACAAATGAGCTACCGATGTTTGCCATGCCTATGGCTATCAACTCCTGGGTAGCGTCGACAGGTTGGCCATTTCCTGAATTAATGATTAATGAATACAATAATCAGAAGTACCGGAGACATATGTAATTCTGTTCAGTGGTGAGTGGTAACGGCTTTAAAGAGTGATATTTATCATTTTTCAAGAAAACTACAGATCGATAGTACATAAAAAATTTAGTCTTCTTTCTCATTTATGCAGACAGATGGATAAAAATTTTATTGTAGTATCACTTTATTATATTCACACAATATTGCAAGGAATCCCGGAAAAATAGACTACGGAAAATAGTCAAGTCAGACGGGGTTTGGGTGTGTGAGCTATTTTTCCCTGCACGAAAAATGTTTAGGGAAATGTTTAGTAAAAATTACGGAACTCACAGTTCGCTCACCGATTACAGAATCAACTCAGCAAATTTAAGTGACGGTATTGTAATTTTTCACAAGAAATTCAGGTAAAAATTACGGAACGCTCTGGAAAAATGCCGTGATTTTGGATAAAAATTGCGTGACAGTTCCGTAAAATTTCCTACAACCACATTTCGCTCCGGAATTACGGAAAGGATACGTAATTTTTATTGAATATTTCTCTCCGTGGGGTCTATTTTTTCCCGCCTACTGAATTTCATGAACCTGGATTATAAAATTCAGCGAAGAACGTTCAACAGCGGCGATACAAAGTGATCAATGATAATATTTACCAAAAGCTTTGCAAATTGCGACGTCCTCCATTAAGGCAATCAGCGGCAGAACGAATAATCCACTTCCCAGATTCGAGCACATATCGAAGAATGATGCCGTTGTGTTATCTTCTCTAGTATAACTAAACGGTGGTAATTGAACATGTGGCATTCCGCTGGGCAGATTTCCTGGAATAAAGCCCACAGATTTGTCAATTTCAATTGTAAATATCATCATATAATTATCAAGCTCGAATCGTTACTCACGAATTAATTTAAAAGGTGTATTTGGCGAGAACCAATATCCTAATAATCCACACAGAATGACCAGAATGGCATTTCTGGAGGTTCCAGTCAGCCACGTAATTTTAGTTAATATTCTGTGACGACGCGTTCGTAGCGCATCATCTGCTGGGCCAAACTGTATGGCTGCAACTACCTGATAATGAGAAACAAGTCTAATGAATATATCGGCGGAATAACGGCATTGTAAAAATAATAATTAGGATTTTCCTTAGAACTCATTTAAATTGCAATTGTCCTCTAAATTTTTAATAATTTTTTACGATATATGGCAAATTCTCCCAAATATCGTCATGGTTTTCGGGGTCAAATTTCATATTGTTGGGTATTAGGTACACGGAGAAAAATGTTCAGTAGAAATTACAGAACTCACAATTCGTTCACCGATTACGGAATCGACTCAGAAAATTTAAGTGACGGTATCGTAATTTTTCACAGGAGATTCAGATAAAAATTACGGAACGCTGTGGAAAAATTCCGCGACAGTTCCGTAAAATTTCCTACAAACACATTTCGCTCCGGAATTACGGAAAAGATACGTAATTTTTATTGAATATTTCTCTCCGTGTATCGGGTGAAATTTTAGGTGCATGCGTGAAAAAATATATTCTTTCCATGGGATAAATTTATTTTTAATTCGATGTGGTGGAACAATCAATTTACGCATTTTTCGGGAAATTCAGGATTTTTCCTAAAAAAATGTATATAACATTTTTTTATAAAATTGAAACTGTAGCCGTCAGATTTAATTGAAAAGGAAATAGAAAAAACTTCCATTTGAGGTTTCTCCCTTATTAATGGAGTTACGAGGTTAAAAATTTAGGACAAACCTCTCCTCAATATGTACAACAAAAGGTAAAATTCGCAACCCAATACGAAATTTGACGCCAAAAATCAGGACGATATTTGGGAAAATTTGCCATATAATATTTTCAATATAATTTTCATAATTTATGATGATTCCATGTCAAAAAATTGCATACAAATTGAAATGAACGAAAGCCCCTCGATAATCAAGAAATAATTACTCTGAGAAGTAGAAGAAGTGCGATACAACAAACACCGAGTACTGAGTCCCATATTTCAGTATCATGAATATTCTCGAACAGACTTCTCCACAATTGTATGAACGTCGCACCTTTGGCAGGAATTCCAAGAATATCTTTAGCCTGTGTGCTAACGATTATGAATGCGACGGCTGAGGTGAATCCCGAGCTGACTGGTCCAGACACAAAGTCGATGAGGAATCCTACATTTATAAATGCGATGAAAAAAAAATATAGTCAAGGTGATTTGCCCAGTATGTCACGTGCGAAATGCCAATTCTGTGCCAATAATAATGCTAATATTTTCAAAATGATAAAGCCTCAACATCGCGCACAATCTTGATAATCTGTTGATCTTTCACAGTTAATTTATGATCAATTCCAGGCTGATCATAAATTAGTAAAGAATGCAAACTGGTTCTACTAGCTCGTGATTTTTTTTAATCGATATTCAAAGTGATTTACCCAGACCAAATATGCCCATGAATAGTTGGACGAGTCCACATAGAAAACAGAGGAGAATCGCGTGCAAAACTTTTTCTTCGAGCTGAGCGACCGCTTGATACGTTAACAGCGAGACTATCGCGGTGGGACCGAATGGTATGTCTTTGCAGGATCCAAATATGATGTAGATAAAGCATCCTAGGAAACTGCCGTACAGTCCGTACTGAAAAAAATATGTTTTTTTTTAAGCGCATAACAATTGCATATAATTTTTAATTATGATTGATTGAATGAATGACTGGATGGTTTTCTTCTTTTTCTATGCAAATGAATAATTAGCGTTTGTTTACGATCGCGAAAAAAAAAACCTGAATTGAGTATAAAATATCCTTGAATCAAGTATATTTTATACTCAATTGGGGGATGGGTATTTCAATTCGAAGATGATTAATTTGTATCAGGCCGGGTTGCAGCAAGCCCTCTCAAGTGTAATGTAAGGGTCAGGCACTAAGTGTCAGAATATAAGGGTCAAAAGTGTAGGTTAAAAAATGAGGGCCACCCACTTTTTTTACTTTTAATATTCTGCCCCTCTTTTTTTAACCCTAACATTCTGACCCTCCTTCCTTCACCTTTACATTCAGGCCCCCAGTTTTTGACTCTAATATTCCGCCCCTCATTTTTTAACCTCCACTTTTTGACCCTTATATTCTCATACTTAGTGTCTGACCCTTATATTACACTTGAGAAGGCTTGGCACAACCCGTGCTGCTACGAAATAATCATCCTCGAATGGAAACACCTATCCCCCATTCGAATATAAAATATACTTGAATCAGGTTTATGCATATACTTGATCCTGCTATAAAATCTACTCAATCCAAGCATATTTTCTTTCCGCGATTGTTCGAGAAAAATGCCTCTTCCATTTCCTGAACCGTACTGTAATTTTATGATGAAATGCATGGGAATGATAATACTGTGAACATAGTAATGAAAATAACGTCAATTACTTGGGGTGGTAATCCAGCGACATGTGAATAAGCCAATGATTGGGGTATTACAGTGAGTCCAACTGTTATTCCAGCAACAATATCACCAACTGCATCGGCTCCATTGTACTTCGGCAACCACTTGAGCACTGGTAATCGTTTATAAAGCATCTTCTTTGTACATACGGATTTGATACGCTGTCCTGCGTACTGAAAGGCTGATTTGAAGACACTATCTTTATGCTTGACCTCGTCATCCCCAGGTTCCTCGACCACTATTTTTTGTGAATAATTTTCAGGTGTGAATAGGAGGTGGTATTTTCGGGAACATGGACAAACATTAATTTTTTTCGATGCCTTCATCAATACATTGCGTTGATGAAGGCCTTGAAAAGAATATTTTGAAAACAAAAAAATCGAAATCGGTCCATTTGTTTTGTAGATATCTGTGGAAAACGATTTAAAAACGAATCGCTTTTTCTTCAAAACTATTGAATTATTAGCTCGATCGAGCTGAAATTTTGCACAGTGTTAGTCCTCATCACGACCTATAATTTGACAACATTTCAGATTTTTTGGAATTACTTTAGCCGCTTTATTACTCAGTTTTCTAAAAATTGACCACCGGGAAGGTGGCGGTGGTCACATACAGAAATGGTCGCCAAACTTCATATTTTTACGTGGCAGACTATTCTACATCATTTTCAATCAAAATTCAAGAATTCGAGAATCAAAGGATTGCAAGGATTTCCTTAGAAGGCAAAAATTGATTTTGTCAATTGAGGTCTCTAAAAAATTATATTAGTTTTTAAAACAATATATTTCCCAAAATTCCTAAGGAAAACAAATTATTTCGGGCAGATGAATCATTTTTTCCCATGTTAAATGAAATTGCGCATCACGCGACTCTACCGGAAACTCGCCAAACGTGCTGGGGCAGTGTTGAGTGAATTCACCAATGCTAGAGCCTAAATAACACGGCGGGGAATCCCCGCGGAGATGACCAGAGTGGCAGGGTCGCATTTTTGGGGATTTTCAAATTTCATGCTTCGAATGAAGCCTTTCTAAAATTTTATATGAAGACCTTCGCAATCCTAAAATGAGGTATTATTTTTTTTGAGTGTCGATTTTCTCATCATCAATTCGAAAAAGTATTGCAGATTCTTAGTTTACAAATTTTCCCATTCACGAACAGCAAAAAAAATACAATAATTTTGATTAACGATTCTCTTCTTGACGCCTTTTGAACACATATCACACTTTTTTATCCATCATACTTACTTTTTGGATATCCTCATTGTGTGCCGAAAACAAATTCAGTAACGTTTTAAAATTAATCAACCAAATTTTGAATTAATCAAATAAACCAACGAGAATTGAACATTGAAAGTGTTAAAAAGACAAGAGATAAAATATTAATCAGTTGGAGTGTATAAGCAGAGTAAAAACTTACAGATAAAATTAAATGAGCCCTGCATATCTGAATTTCGTTCATCGCTCGAATTCCGCAACACGTGTGACGTATTTGAGTCATGAAGATCAAGATTTTCTTGTGAGTCCTGTATTCCCCGGTTCACGTAACCACTGATTGATCTATCATTCATTTTATTGACATTCTTGCCGTTCCGCATTTTTAAACAATGTCTTCACCTCTCTAGCTCCTTCCGCACTCTTTTTTGCTGCCAATTCGTGCTGCTGTGGTTGATTTTACATCCCTCCTCCTGCAAATAATAGTTGTGTGTAGAATTAACCAACTTGATACAGGAAAGTCCCATTTTATGTATCACTCTGTTTACCTAGTTCTAGATTATCCAACGGTGGCATTGGGATTGGAATTTTTCGTAAACATGAATCAGACATGGGAAATCCGTACGTGGGTAATCGCAATGAAATGCACAAAAAATGCAAAAAAGTCATGCCCATAGATTGCGGAAAACTGCGGATTTTTTGCATTGAACACTGATGATCATAATATGTGGACGTCCACATGAAAAGGGACCACTTTATCGATATGGTGTTATGTATACTCTGATAATATTGATAATATGCCGCACATTTTGAGTCCAAAATGATCTTCATGGGGTCAAAAATGACGTCGTTGGAGAAGATGGAAAAAACAATTTAACAATGGTGCAAATGGGAGTTGCTGACACAAAAATGTGAATATCTCGGAAACTAGAATCGACAAAGTGGTCCCTTTTCATGTGGACGCCCACATATGGATAAAATTATTTTGTATATCTGGTGATACTGTTATTCAAGTTTAACCAGGTATTGACGTTGATGATGACGTCTAATTGCGACTAAGATTTGAAGATATTCAGAGTATACACGGAGAGAAGTTTTTTTAGAAAAATTCTGGAGAGAATCATTTTAAATAGAAATGAATAAAAAACATTGTAAGTGAATTTTTTTTTCAATTTATAATTTTTAACTGACGATTACTCCGGAATATTCTGATTTTTATATTTGATTTTTGTAGATTAATGATTTTGGCCCTGAAGAGGAGTGCATTCAGCACTCGAAATATTGGCAATCAAATTAAAACAAAAAATTGTGAAAATATTAGTTATTGCTTTCTGTGACCGCAAAATTGGCCCTTGGAAGGTGTTTTTAATCTAGAGAGAAATTTTTTAGAAAAATTCTGGCACTGGAAATTTTATTGAGAAAACGTGAAATGTTCCCTGTATTTTTGTGAAAATTTCACAGACATCCTTGGACATTTTACCTTAACAGCACTAGAATTTTTCACAACCGGTGGATTGCGATTTTTTCCACTACTCGTACCAGAATTTTTCTAGAAAATTGCTCTCCTTGTGCCCACCGAGAGAGGTTCCTGTTCATTGTTTATTTTAGTTTATTTAGTTTATTTTCGGCATTCATGCTCCGAATTTTACCAGAAATCGATTTCATGCTTTAAAAAAAAAAGATTTTCGAAAGTTTGCACAATTTCAATTATTTATTCATCAACAACGAATGTTTAAAAAAATGATAATTCTGTACAAAATTTACTTTGAATATGGCCGAATACTCATGATTCTTTTCGAATTTTTTTCACGAAAAATTTGAAAAATTTCAACTTTTTTTAATCAACAAATTTGACGATTGAAACTGTTTCGATTGAAAATAGTGTGGTCTGTACCAAACTGTAAAAGATACTGAGATATCCTTACTTAAAAATTCTCGTGCATGATACGGTAGAAATAAATTTTTGGTTGATAAGTTTTTGAGACATGATTTATTTTCAATCAAGAATTTTCATTTGTTTCATTCACGAAAACAGGATATTTTCAATTTAAATTTTTCTTACCATGCATAACACCTACAAATTACCATCTAACTCATAGTTATTAATATTCATCAGCAATGCATTAAATCTCATTTTTATAAATGTTAGGATCAGCTAATAAATCATTGCACGACAATTACCCGAAGGAATCTCGTAAGAACACTACATCCAGCGCGTGTGGAATTCCTCAATACTCAACGAAATTCCGCAAAGTCCAGCGGTTTAAACACTCGATAGAATTTTCCGGTTACGTGATGGGACCATCAATCGAAGAAAAAAAACGTGCAACGGAAGAATGTTATTTTTCTTCCATTCCGGAGAATATCCTCGATAACTCGCCAAAAATTTTCCTACAGTCCGATCATTTCGAGATAAGCAAGGATTCAGTCTTATCCATTCAATTGCCACGTGATGAAAACATTCATCAATCAATTATGCGCGCAACTCGCAGAGATATGCCACAGTTATATACATATAGCTGCAGGTGCAACACGATTGTTACCGTTGATACGAGTGAACAGACTACATGCACGTGATGCACTGTGCGTTTCCGTGCATTGCTCTGGTAATCAACGTTTTTCAAGACTTTCTAGACCCCCTTTTATCTGTAACCGTTAATGAAGCAGTAAATGATAATGATTGAAATCATTCTTTTATTTGTGATAGTTGAGGATAGTTGGGGGCAATCCCTGCTTCGAAATGATTTTCTGCTTTGAAATGATTTTTCAAATTAATGTGGCATTATAAGGACTCTATCGAGACACGCGGTAGCGTACGGGCCACGAAAAGTTTTGACTCGGTCTGTACAAAACATTAGGCCGATCGGCGCCGCGTATCTATACACAAAGCAACTACTCCTTCCACTACCTCCGAATCATATCCATCAAATAAAATCCGAACGTGATGAGCTGCATGAAAAATACTCTTAATTACATCGGGCCGTGTAATTAACTGAATTAAATCGAGACACGCGGTAGCGTATGGGCCACGAAAAGTTTTGACTCCGACTGTACAAAACATCAGGTCGATCGCTGCCGTGTATATATACACAAAGCAACTACTCCTTCCACTACCTCCGAATCATATCCATTAAATAAAATACAAACGTGACGAGCTACATGAAAAATACTCTTAGTTACATTATATAAATCGGCCACAAGCTTCTCATTGATGTAATTCAGTAGCGAAGTGGTAAAACGGTTTAAGTCGACTCATCTCTCAGTTGAGTTTTTGAGGAATATTTCCGAATCTAAGGGAGATAGCGAAATTTTTGTAATTACATTTATTGTAGCACTCAATCGACTCTCCAAAAAAGGTTATAACAACAATTTTGCTATCTCCCGTAGATTCCGAGATATTTATTGAAAACTGGTCGATATTCAAAAATGACTTGTACCGTTTTACCACTTCGCTACTGAATTATTTTTTGTTCAAAGCAATATTTAAAAAAATACGCGCACAGCAACGGGTCCATATGCACATTCTCGCAGTTCACATTATCTCCTATCATTTTTTGTTACTGAGTTGGTAGCAGTGCAATACAACCACACGCGTCAAGGAGGGACACCGAGAATTTACAAATTGAATTTGTTGCATGAATGATAAATTCCACAGATGTTTTTTAATTGAATTCCGTGCATAAATGAATACTCGAAGAGGTAAATTAAGTCGGAAAATGTTGAATGAATAATTAAAAGTCGATGGAAATGGTAACTGCGGAGTCGAACTATTTGTTTTGTTTCCGGGTCCCCTTAAACGCAATTAGTCAAGGAGAGGGAGAGGGAAAAGAACATTAAAAAAAAGGAGAAAGCGCATCTAAGAAAGATGTCCTCTAGGTACGCCGTGAGGGTCATCCATCAGTTGACCATACCTGGGCGGTTCGGGAAGCAGCAACCAGGTAAAAGGGCGCAACAAATTAGGGAAATTTCAAACTGGAGGATTCTAACAAAAAAAAGGGACCATTGTCCAAATTTTCCGCAGTACGTGATTTCTCTGAAATACGTGGGATTTGAGAGTTTCTCACAAGTATTTCAAAGTAATTTACAACGTTGTACGCCTAGGCAAGGGTCTGTTTTCCGTCTTTGTCGAACTTGAAAGAGGATTAGAGAGAGGTTTGAGAGACTTTAAAATTTTCTAGAAATTTACGGTTCCCGGATTTTTTCCCCGTGAAAAATTCCCGGGAGAAAAATCCCCGGAAAATGTTTTCCGGAAAAGTTCCTATGTGCTCCAGAAAAAAATCCGTGTAAAATTTTCCTGGAAAATATGAAATCAGAGACATATTCGTAATGTCCATTATTTTCTTGAAGTCGACAATTTCTGAACATCATGAATAATTTACACAGACCTTTTCGTCAAAATAAGATTCAATTCTTCAAATAGAACAGCTAAAACCACACAAGGTACTAATATTCCAACAAGCTAAAATGATTAATTTTCAATATAATCAGCAACATACAAAAAATTGAATATGGATTTAAAATTTATATATCAACATTGGTCGCTAAACAATGAATGGACGAAACAATCGCAAATGAAAATTAAAGCGATTTTTGTCATTAATTTTTTCATTTTTCTCCTTCTAAGAAAAAACAATAAATTCAATTAGCATTTTCTGAAGAAAAACTCTAAACAAAATCCCACATGAAAAAAATTCGTAAGGAAAATTAATCTCAATGAGAACAATTTGGTGAGAGAGGATTGGCGGGGAAAAAATTTCCGGGAATTTTTCAACGGGGAAAAACCCCGGGGGAAAGTTCTACATGGGAAAAATTAGTGAGGGAAAAAAGTTCAAAGGGAAAAATTGACGGGGAAAAAAATCCGGGAATTTTTCTACGGGAAAAAAAACTCCAGCCACCGAATGTCTCAATTTGAAAAATTGAAAAATCTCAATGTGAGTATTCCAAGTCCCAAATTGAGACTATAAATCTCACAATCAAGCTGTTTTTTTTGGTTGTAGAATCTTCTGCAATATTCTAGGGAGATTTAACAATATTCCTTTAACGATTTACGAGCTTCCCACACAGATCTTGAATTTTCCAGAAAATTTTTGCATTCCCCGCATCGACAAAAACTTAAAAAAGACAAAAATTGAATGTTTGACGATGGATATCTCAAAAATTGGCGTGGAAAAAATACTTGAAATTTTGGGAGTCGTTTTTACATGTCCTCAACAACATATGATCCAAATTTTAGGTCTGCAGTTCATTGCGAAATTTTCACCAAGGATAACTCACTGAGGAAGTACCTTAAGACGATTTGACAATAACCATAAAACCCATCAATTTCACTTGTTTGTCATTCAGCTGATATTAACAATTGCAGTCACGTGAAATTCATCATGTCAATGGTGAAAAAAAATGCTGAATGTATTTTTCGGAGGCCAATCAAAGCATTCAAAAAACAAGTGACTCATCCTTAACAATCTTCAGTAAACACCTCAATTTTATGCCTCAAAGATCACACAATAGACGCAAATATTATCACTCCCGTTGATTACATATTTATCAACAGCACGTGACTGTTAAAATGAAGTGTTATCTTAAAGGTAATAATATGGAGGAAAATAATGATAATTCATCAAGCAGAGGAGTGAAACACCAAAGTCACTAAACTTTTTCTTTCTACCGAAATGCAGTGAAATTTCTAGATAGATAGGCGTTATTGACATGTCAGTAACGAAGGGGTAAAACGGTTTAAGGATCTCCAAATATTTTTTACAGTGGGGTACAGACCTCACTATAGATTCAACCATTTTCAATCATGAAATTTGTGAATTAACTTGCGGAAGAAAAATTTGAAAAAAATCATGAATATTCTACGTCATTCAAATTACATTTTGCACCGAATTATTATTTTTTTAAACATTCGTTGTTTGTAAATAAATAATTGAAATTGTCTAAACTTTCGGAAATTAATTTTTTTAAGCATTAAATGAATTTCTGGTAAAATTCAGAATATGAATAAATTTTTGACGATTCTGAACAAATGATCTTTATGTTGGAAAATTGATTGTCAATAAATTATTTATAGAAATCGCTCGTGATTTTCAAAAATTGCAATTTTTCAATTATTTCATCATTCTTTCTCCAAAAGTAAACTTTCTAATCTTAATTCTAATTTTTTAAATGTTTTCTAACTTTAACATTGAGATTTAAGTTCAGACCTACAAAGTTTAAATAATAAAATCATTGTAAAATGTCCGAAAACTTGACAAATGAAAGTTCTGATGTTTGACCATAAAAGTAGGAAAGCATTTCACAGGAGAAAAAACAGCCCAAGAACTTGAATATCTTCAAATCAATTTCGACTACGGGTCAGTTTTCTCTAAATATCTTCGAATCTGAAACAAATAGCAAATTTTTTGTTAAAACCTTTACTGAATAGCCAATGATTTTTAAGTTGGTAAATTCATTGTTGATAAATTATATTACAGAAAATGCTCGTAATTTTCAAAAATTGCAATTTTTCAATTATTTCATCAGTCTTTCTACAAAGGTAAACTTTCTAATCTTTTTTCAAATTTTTAAAATGTTTTCTAAATTTAATATCGAGATTCAGGTTCAGACCTGCAAAGTTTAAATAATAAAACTATTGTAAAATGTCTGGAAACTTAACAAATGAAAGCTCTGATGTTCGAAAAGGAAAAAAGCATTTTACAGGAGAAAAAATAGCCCCAAGAACTTGAATATCCTCAAATCAATTTCGACTATTGCTCAGTTTTCACTAAATATCTCGGATTCTAAAGCAAATAGCCAAATTTTCACTAAAACCTTTATTGTAGAGCCAATTAAGAGTTACAAAAAAGGTTATTATAAAAATTTCGCCACCTCCCTTAGATGCCTACCAGAAATTGATCGAAATTCTGCGACATTAAGCCAAAGGGCCCGTGCCCTAACATTGAAAGCCGCGCGCCAACTCACGCCGGGATGTTTCCGCGCCACGAAATATCCACTAGGGCTTCCCAGATACTCTTCTACACCTCATATCGACTTCATCTTTGTCCCAACCATGAATTAGAAGCGCGTTTCCATATACTTGAAGAGCAGCCTGCACACAGTCGATTACGTGAGTAATGAATATATCGAATGGAGCCCTACATACACTTGAGACCATCTCCATGTATTTCTTTACGCAACGATCACTCTGTTTCGTAACTTTCAAATTTTATGTTACTCCATCCACAAAAGATTCAATAAGAATGGATCCTCCACCGCCACCGAGATATCTATTCTCTTGCAACGTCAACGTGGAGTGTTGAATCGCATACACTTGAGCATCATGAATGTATGCGTCGAGAATTCATACACTTTATCCGTTTGTTTTACTCCACAAATGGTGTAGCGGTTAAAGGAATCGATAAAACAATCCGTGATAACGAATGGATAATTGAGTCCACTTGCACCAATCGTCGATGGCCTCACATTATGCGCGTAAAATCGCGCAAAAAGTGAGCGGAACATGTCAAAAATTCTGACAATGTGATTGGAAACAAGATCATTTTTCAAAGTATAAAATAATTCATTAATATTGCATGACATTTATAAATGAGTTTTTTAATTTCCAAAAATAAAAAGAAAATGAAGAATGAATTATTTGCCAAATATTTGCGCATTGTCAATGCAGGAAGTACCCAAATGCCTAGAATATATTTGCATACCCAGTAATGTACAATCGATAAACGTTCAACTATCATAAAAACAACTTTAAATTCCGAATTTATTATTGTTATTTTCAACAAAGGCAAACCGAAGCCGAGTGATGGTACTCGATAATGGGTCAGCCGGTTTGATTGAAATTGTCTGGGCTCATTGATGACAATAAATCACCAATCTCTGTCGTTTAAATCCTCATCATCAATCGCATTAAGCCAAATAGGAAAGTGGAATCGACTTAAGAGATATTTCATTGAAAATTCCTGAAACTATATTATGAAAACCAACTCGTCGAATTTTCATATTTTTCATTTCTGATTTGAATCAAGGATAATGTTGCTCATAATCACCTCCAGTGTCACCAGTTGCTATTATATTCCTGGACTCCTGAACGTTTCTCTCGTTTCCTCCTCTGAGCTATACATTAGTTCAATTAATCCCCGTAATATTAAAAATATGCAATTAATCTCGATTGAATACTGTCGGTCTACGAAGCAACACTTAAGGCTCTTTTTATAAAACACTGGTTACATTTGATGTGCACAAATCACAGAGACTAAACGTGTAAAATTGAACGATCGTTCGAGGGAGAATTTAAAAAAAAAACTGAATCGACATGAATCTGAGGAGCGCGTTTATAAATGCCCAGAGTCGTATTCACAAATGTGTTTTCCGTGTGTATCACGCGGTCTGACTTCCCCTTCTCAGCCTCGCCCTTCTCCACGAATTTTTCCCCCCTGTTACCCGCACTCGAGTCAACGTCACTCGAACGCAAACCAATCGGAGCGCAGCATTCCTCAAGGCTCGTATTTACATACCCAGTTTGGGAATGAGATTCCCTATATACTGCATGTATATATGGATCTCATTATTTTTTTAAATATTTTAATTGTATATATATATTTTTTATCAAGACAATTCACGTGAGTCGATTATCGTCGTCTCTTCCATTAGGACTAATCGGTGTAATCAAGTTTTCCTTTGTTTTAATGATTTATTTTTTTTGTCATTAGAGTCACGAGTTTGCCTACCTGTTGAGCCTCAAATGTTAGGGCTCACGTGAGTGTAATTAACCGGTGTGGTAGGATCGCGGTGTTATTGGAAATGTGCTGCATACGAGTGTAAGATATGGATGACGGTATTAGTTTGTACTTGCGTATGTTACATTTTGTGATTGGGGAGAGATATTAGTGGTATTTCTGCGGTGTTACATCCAGTTTAAAAAAATTCAGTGTAACGATTTTTGAAGCCTCTATTCCGCTTATCGAGTAGTGTAATATGATGTCTATGAATATTTTTTTATGCACTGTAATCTTTTGTTTACTGTAATTGTGAAAGAAGAAAAATTCATTTCTTACTGTAATAAAAGTATATTTTCCACGGGAGAATATTTGATGGTGTGGAACAGATTCACTTGAGGGAAGTTAGCCAACTTGATAGAAGGAAATTTAATATCTTTCACAAAAATTGAATTTTTGTAGTAGTCAGCAGAAATATCCTTACACGGAGAGAAATGTTCAGTAAAAATTACGGAACTCACAATTCGCTCATCGATTACGGAATCGACTCAGAAAATTCAAGTGACGGTAGGGTAAACTGCCCAGTAGATGGACGTTTGTTTTTTAGCAATTGAAAAAGAAAATTGATCGGAAAAAAATCGTCACTCAGGGGTTAAGAATCACAACAGTTATTGAAAATTCAAAGCAACAATTCACATTTCAGTATTTTTTTGCGTAATTTCCTATCCAAAAGTAGCTCGTCCATCTATAGGGCAGTGTCCATCCACTGCGTAGCTTACCCTATCATGATTTTTCACAGGAGATTTAGTTAAAAATTACGGAGCGCTCTGGAAAAATTCCGTGACAGCTCCGTAAAATTTCCTACAACCACATTCCGCTCCGGAATTACGGAAAAGATACGTAATTTTTGTTGAATATTTCTCTCCGCGTAGAGGAATTCGAACTGTTGGCAGGAAAAAATATAATCTATTATACGACAATCATTTAATCTGAGAAGACTCCACAGGTTTACACTATAGAAAGAATACATTGATGAGGAAACAATTTTTTTTTCCCAAAAAACAAATTGTCCCTGAGAAATTATTTAGTTTTGTCAATAACACAGTTGTCGGCAAGAAAATTGTAGTTTCCTCTTGACATTATCATTTGTTCTATGAAAATTATGAGTGTTTATTGGACAAAGATATACACTACTCAATAACATTCACTTGATAAAACCGGAGGCTCATGTAATTCTCTGTACAACAAATCGTTAGCTTCATAACAGAGTAACGTAAGTGCCGAAATACGAAAATTCTCCTGAAAGTGAGAAACGAGAAGTAACTGTATGGAAACAAGTTTAAAATTCGAAACTTTTTGACTGAGGAGATTTTTTGGCACTTACGTTACTCTGTTATAAAGCTAACGAAATGTATTTACCCGAAAGATATATAAATGACTCATGAGAAAACCACCTACTACGAAACTTATCATGTTCAGGGGAACGTATAATTTGTCGGCAGAACTAATTTTTTCTCTCAATTTTATGGCAATCGAAATTTTCAGGAGAGTCATATTGAATGCAATTTAGATTTTATTTGCTCCGCAATTATGAAATTTCAGATTTGACTGAAAATTCAATGAAATTCCAAATTTTTGAGCAACATTAACACCAGAATAATTCAACGTATTTAAATTTTCAATAAAAGCAGGTATGCATGTTCATAGCCAAAATATGAAAATTTGTCAATTAATTAAAGATTAAGGAATATATTTTCCGCAATTTTCCTGATTTCTACTGATTTTCACGAAATAGTTAAATTGAAATTTCCAGTTCTCATTGATTTTCCCATGAAATTTTAAATTTTCAATTATGAAATTCCTCAAAATTTCAGTGGAACTGAAATGTGAAAAAGATTTCTGAAAAGCGTATCGGAAATGTCGGCAAAAAATTCTCAACAGTACAATGAATTTGAACAGGAAATGTTAATGAATGATTAAAATGCTAAAAATTTAATGAAGCGTAAAAAAAGTAAGCAGTAATTGAAGAAACAATAGTTATCACTGCCATTAAATCATGCATTCAGTTTAACTTGAAAATAACGATGAACCGTTTGTTGATCAACAATGAAGCTATAGAAACTCGTGACACTGATCACGTAACTCCTCAATTAATTATTCCGAACAGCGTGATAGATGATTTCTTATCGTTGAACCAAGAACTTGTGATTTCTGCAAATTTCCCTCGGAACGGTAAACAGATTGATGCAGATACATTAATGAGTATAATCTTGCAATAGTAACTAAAAATTTTTCAATGTCTGCACAATTAAGAAAACAACGATTGTTTGCCCAGAGATTAACAACGCAAGATTTTGAGGCTTATTAGTTTTATTTTGTCATTCCGGTCGTAAGGCAGCGTTTCACGGACGCTCCGCGTCCGTGAATCTCTGCCTACGGCCGTCATGACAGAAAATATTGTTCGTCAGACGGCCAAAAAAAAATTTTCTGGCGAATATGAGTTTTGCAAAAAGTATCGAAATATACTATTTTAACGGCCTTCGAGTCCCTTTTCGGGTCCCATTCGGCACTCTATCTAACCCTATGCATGCGGCAGTGGATTCTATACTGCGCCGCATTCGCAGTCCTATAGAACATGGGTGTAGGAGAGCAAACCACAGGAAACCCATTCGGCACAGGCGGGTACTCTATTAGCAATCTCCCGCTCGCCGGAGCCTCGCGGTGAAAAATTCGGTTCCACTTGGGATCGATCTCACAACCTTTCGCACACTAGATTTGCGTCTAGCCCACTCGGCCACCGAGGTCGATTCTTATTAGCAGTGTTGCCGATTCGGGTTTAAGAGGTGTCACCACCGCTATGCGGAAAGACACAATTAAGGGTCGAAAGTCACAAGATTAAAAAAACAAACTCATAACTATGAACATTTTTTTATTAATTCTCAAACACTCACCGAAATGAAGATACGGTACACGTGCTTAGTGAAATTATCTAAAATAATACTCACAAGAAAAAAAAGAAAGTATATAAGATATTCCACGCCGAATGAATCAGGTGCTGATATTCTTGGAAATTAATGGCGATTTGATTTGACCAAATTTGCGGAATTTCGGAAAGAAAAAATGAAAAATAAAATTGGTTCCTCAGTATCCCCAACTTGTATAATGGCTCAAAATACTTGTTTTGATTATAAGAATTACTGAAAAAAAATGAAACAAATCAAAGGTGACATAATTTGCAAAATTCTCAGAACGAAGTGAGAGCCAAAGTTTGAGTTTGAGTTTTCGTTGACAGGAAAATTCACTATTCGTCTCGCACTTTTTCAAAAAGTACTGAAAATCTAGTTCGATCCACAATTAACTAGTGACTTGTTCTCTAATTTTTCTCCAACTTTTTTCTCCGTGTACCTTCACCAAAAAATTACAATATGTACAATATTTATACTGACGTACCATTTTTGTTGCCCATGAAATGACTGATGTCAATCAGATACAAAAATAAATATATCAACGGTAATTCCATCTTGCTTGACTTGATGTAATTGAGCCAAGATAGCAAACATCACATCATTGCCGAGTGTTCAACGGTCAATATTTACTTTTCATTGTTTTCAATGAGCGAATCTCATTTGTGTGATCTAACGGTTCACGTAGTGCTGGGCTCAGTGAGTACTGCATTGTTTTCCACTGTATTTCCACATGGTGAATTGGCGTAAATATAAACACACGTTTTAACTCGTGCGGTTTCAAGCGCTGATCTAACAACTGGATATCAAATTTGGGATAGTGTTTAGTTGGTCGAAGCAGTTTTATTAACTCAATTGAGGTGATGAAATGACAAGGGATTTCTCAAAATGTCGTAAGTTCTACTTAAACATCATTGGGATAAGTTGAATCTTCATTGATCGTGATGAAAGGGTTGTAAGATATAAGGTTGTGAGAGTCTCAACACTCAAAAGAATTTTTCTGTTTTCATTTCTTTTTCCTGGGGAAATTTGTAATACGTATTATGGCAAATAGATTATTTGTTGATTTGTTTATTTACCTATTCATTCATTTATTTATTTATTTTTTGATATAGTCAAACAGCCAAGGCCAATTATATGACTATAGTAACACAGGATTAAATTTAATTGTAGTTCAGTACTAGTTTAACCAATAATGGTATTTGAGAATAGTATTCCATACAAATGTAAACATTTAAGGGTAGATATGGCGATACATGCACTGACAGAAGAACAAACACGTTGTCAAGCAAGTCTTGTTTGGGCCAACAAAATCGCTAGTTGAAAATTGCCAAAAAATAATTTGTTTGGTTCGAATTTGAAAGTCTCAAACATGAATAATTGTTCTGCTTTCGACAGCAACGAAATATTTGGCTCAAGAGGCGGATAATTCACACCAGACGGTGCCTTTTCAGGCTGAAAATATCTTATATAGAGGGAAATTTATCAACAAATATTTTATCCCTAAGTTACAAGATTGCTATCATATCATTATTATTGTTTCATTTAAGGGTTCATTTCTTGTCTGTGATTATTAGACAGTCGAAACGAAAAACTACTATCCCTTGTTTCGCATAAAACAGATTTTTTCGGAGCAAAATACGTATGGGAGTATCGAATAACGAAG